GTCAGAGGAAATACACGTAATTCACCTGTAAGGTACTTCACCTGGTCCATAGTCAACCCAAGTCAAAGGAAATACACGTAACTCACCTGTAAGGTACCTCACCTGGTCCATAGTCAACCCAAGTCAGAGGAAATACACGTAACTCACCTGTAAGGTACCTCACCTGGTCTATTGTCAACCCAAGTCAAAGGAAATACACGTAACTCACCTGTAAGGTGCCTCACCTGGTCTATTGTCAACCCAAGTCAAAGGAAATACACCTCAGTCACCTGTAAGGTGCCTCACCTGGTCCATAGTCAACCCAAGTCAAAGGAAATACACGTCAGTCACCTGTAAGGTACCTCACCTGGTCTATAGTCAACCCAAGTCAAAGGAAATACACGTATCTCACCTGTAAGGTACCTCACCTGGTCCCCAGACCTGACAGCCCTGCAATTATTACTGTACGGTGCAAATGTTTCCTGTATTAGCTGCCTTACCTAGTCCCAGAGCTAAAAAAGAGCCCAGATGTAACGTTAAGAGCCACACAAATATAACGTTGATAACCAATTTGGTCCCCATTACCTACATGTAACGTTATATGGAGTGTTACCTGGTCCCCAGAGCTTAAATCCCCTCAAATATGATCTGAACTGTGCTTTTCCTTGTCCCCAGAGGTAAGAGCCAAACAAATGCAGTGAATATAGACGTAAAAGTTGACGTTTTTGCACGTAAATCGAGGGAACGACGCAGGTAGCCCTCCCCCATTTGTCCCCATACTACCGAAACTGAGGTATTGCTGCAGCATATGAGTAGCAGTCCAGCCCTACGCGTCACTTCCGGTGACCTCCAGTGACCTCCGCCTCGTTTTCGACCCCTACCCTTAGCCCAATGTGAAAAAGTATCTCCCGTCAAATGACGACATTTACCCAGCATGCACGGGGTGAAGCACCTCCATTTTTGGAAAGGGTAAGAAATATTTTACTGGGATATTATATGTACTTCTATCTCTGTAATACATTAGTAAAAAGCATCAAATATTAATTAAATTATTATATTTCTTCTATGTCTCAAACTTTTGTTGCTCTTGATTGTTGAGTTTTATCTATCTTATTTTCTAAAAAATCTAGTTACCCCTTTTCGTTATGGAACAGTCTGTCTCTAGGCAACCATGGATACAATGGCCTAACAGAGCCGCCGCCAAGCAGCTGAGGACAACAAAACACGAGGCGTTTTCTAGTGAGTTTAGGTCGTTGCTACTTCAGTTTAGGAAGAATCGCCAACACAGAACGATAGCTAGGTGTCTGTACCGACTAAAATGGCGACCAAAACGATGACAAGCTCGTCTCAAGTGATTCGACACGGAAGAAGACAGGGACAGGCCAGAACTCCGCCTCCTGCAGGTAGGTTTTCCAACCCCGGGAAATCATTCCAGATTTTCCTTTTATTCTGGGCCATGAATTATACCAGTGGTCTGACGATTATTCCACGAGATACACTCATTGTAAGATAACATAATTTTACTGTATTCATCGTCTACATTTGTATTTTCATGGCCTCGTCTTAATTTATACTCATACTTTTTGTACTGTTTCTAACGTTATGTGTTGCTATTATTATCCAATTTGGATGCCTTGATGCATCAGTCATGGTAACGTTAAGTTTGGTCTGTTTTTATTTCTGAATCTTAAAAATAATGACAATGAAACGAACGTATGTCAATGAGGACTCAGATTATGTCAACCACATGCCATAATTTAATTACATTGCGAAATATAACCATGAAATAACATCTACATGTATTAAACAATTTCCACAGAAGACGTCACAATACTTGACTCGGAGTCTTTCTTATCCAGCCTTTTTATCTACCAAAACATTGAACACAGACTAAGAGATAGATGATCATGAATATATATTTTCTACATCTACAGTTACACCTACAGAGAACGGCCAGCATACAGAGTTCATGGCGCCGGGTGGGACAGATCTCCGAGACGTGATGGTTCTGTCTAAGAAGGATTTTGAGCGGATCCAAGGAACGCTGACATACGGGACTATGCAGAACCGAGAGGCACAGAAAGCACAGCGCATCCGCGAGGACAAGGAGGCTCTCCACTCACGGTCCAAGGATGTGGTCAAGAACTGGGCGAACACTATCGCTGTAAGCCTTCTTTTATACCAAATTCTAAACTGCTGTTTGGTGTACTGTAGTTTAATGAGTTCTACACATTTAGTTTTGTGGTATGTCAACATTTTTCAAAAGAAATTTTAAGCAGTCACCATCAGTGTTGCCTAGGCAAAAATTTTGAAAGGTAATTAGACTCAGGAAATTGGTGTTAGCAAAATACAAAATTGCCCAGGATTTGCAACTAAGTTTGAAAGCAGTCACAAGTTGTCACTAAAATTCCTTTCAGGCATTATAATTGTGCACAAATCACTTTTCTGTTTTCTTTCAAATATAAAAAAAAACTAATCAATCATTTTAATCTTTCCAAACAGGGCCAGCGGCAGAAGAGGCTGGAAGCTCGTAAGATCCGTGAGGATATCGAGGAGGCTGAACGTGTGCAGGTGGACATTGAAGAGGCAAAGTACCAGGCAGAGCAGCGGAGGAAGGCCATAGAGAAGGCCAAAACACAGCAGTACTACCAGACTGACAGGGTCAAGGGCTTCCATGTAAGTGTTGATGTCTAATCTTGTGATTGAACAGTATTTTTCTTGTATAGAGTCAAAGCTGACCAAGAAGACCACTCCAGGGACTGAAAGAATCTCAGCTCTATGTGGACAGGTGGTCACTCTCTTAAAGCTTTTGTCAATGGTAAAAATAATCTCTTGGTTGGCCAGGTAGTCCTTATGTAGAGGTGTAAATGCTCTACATAAGTCTTTACACCTGTACATACTTGTTTTGTACCATCGTATATAATTTTTGTGGGTCACACTGTACACCTGTTAGTTTTGAATCTAACGGTCCTGTGTTTGTTCCCAGGGTGCCCTGCTGCTGACGGAGGTTCTGAAGGAGCGTGACGCGCAGGTGGAACTGAAGCAGGCGAAGGAACGAGCCAATCAGGGCAAAGATAAGGAGCTGCTGCGGAAGTTCCAGGAGGACCGGGAGCGTGCAATCCTGGAGGACCAGATGGCCGCCAGGAAACGCTACGAGGAGAGGGCCACCGTCGCCAACTTCCAGATCAAACAGTACGTTCTCTTACTGCTGTTTTTGTTCATCTAAAACTTTCTGGTTTGATATTAAACTGAGTCACTCTCTTGATTCTCCTGTCAGTTACAATGGATGAGCATCTCTTCCAGATTTGTGCACCCTCATGTGTAAATGAGTCCAATTATGGTGTGACAATGAACATTGCTGTCCGCAATCATTTTTGCTTACCTCCAACTTAGAGGGAAAGTTACTTGATTGCAGAAAAATATCAACTCGCAATTCTGCAGGCGAATATTCAATCTCCTTACCATGAATCACAATATTATTGCAGAGGAAAATGCCTACATCTTCCATCAAAATATCAACTCGCTGCAATTCTTCAGGCAAACATTCAATCTTGTTGTTATGAATCACAATATTAGTTCAAAGGAACATTTCTAATGTTTCTGTTCTTCCATCAGGATCCAGGAGCACCATCAGGCTCTGGAGGCGGAGGACCATGAGGACCGGCGGGAGGGTCAGGAGATCCAGCGGCTGGCCAGGCTGCACGAGTGGGAGCGCAGGAAGCTCGACGACCTGCGCAGACAGGAGAAGATGGAGCTCATGATGGCACATCAGGTAAATAACTTATAAACAAATAGACACCTTGATGAACTGTCTCTTGATTCTCCTGTCAATTACAACTCCTGGAGTATGCTACTGGAAAGAGACACAGTTCAATGGAAGAGACGTTAACCTCATTGTCCCATGCTTGATGAGAGCTTACTTTGAGTGCTTCAAAGAGTCTCCACTACATACATCATTGAGAAAACAATGTACAATGTATTTGTCATTCATACTACACCAGGAATTGTGCTTTTCTCTAATGTTGACTCCATATTTTATGAACAGGAACACACGGCAAACCGTGACGCCATCCGAGCCATTGAGCAGCAGAAGGAGGAGGAGGAAGACGAGGAAATCCGTCTGTTCGCTGCAGCCAAGAAAAAGATGACAAAACTCAGGAGGGAGAGAGAGTCTGAAATGTTCAAGTAAGTCGTGATGATGAGTTAAAGATATTTTCTTAGGCCTACAAATGCTTAGATTTTTTTTAGCTGTTTTGTAAGGCTGTCCTGTGGTGACCCTGCCTCAGAAGCAAGAGGTTATGAGTTCGAATCCCAGCTATGTTGCTCACTCGGCCTGCACGTTGCTGAAAAATGTTGCAGTCCTTAGGACTGTTTTTTTTCTGTCACAACTAAGCTTACTTCAATGACATCTCTTTCCATATCTTTGCATGCTGATTTTTGTCTGTCAAAGATGGATTGGGCAAAATTTTTTGTCTGTCACGAGCAGCAAAATTAAGTCAAAAGACAGATGCTGGCTAGAACACTGCATATTTATATTCTTTCACTAAAGCTACCTGGAAACTCACCGAACAATTACTCTGTTGCCACTGTAGGAAGGTTCAGGACCACCGAGACAAGATGGTGGACCTTCTGTCCCAGCAGCTCAAGAAGAAGGTGGACAACGAGGACGAGCGGATCGCGAAGGCGGTGGCCGAGAACGAGGCAAAGATGGAGGCGGATCGCGTGGAGAAGGAGGAGAAGATCAAGGCAGAGCTGAAGTCCATCGCTGAACACAGGACAGGAGTGGTGAGGACGCTGTCTTAAACTTGGGGGGTTCTAGTCAAGAGCGGTTGCTTGAAGTTCTGAATCAGTAGATCGCTTCATATGTTTGTTTTTAAAAAGATTTTGATTGTAAAACATCATTTAACAGTTGGAATTCCAGAAATACCTCAAATAACCTTCCTCAGGGTTAATTAAAGAATAAAGTTTTAATTGGTATTTGCTACTCTTTGCCACATTGTGATGTTGTGGCAAGGATGTGGTTCCAAACCCAAAGTTTACTGAAATATGGGAAAATAAAATAGCTAATATTACTAGATTTACTAAGAAAGACCTGATGAAATTTGTAGAGGATTAACTTTTAATAACCCATATTATTTTCAACTTTGCAGCTTTCCCAGCAGGAGCAGATGAGAAGAGAGAAGGAGAGGAAGGACCAGGAGGTTCTGGAGCTGAAGATGGAGGCAGACAAGATCTTCCAGGCCAAACAGGAGGAGAGACAACGCAAACAGCTGCAGGACAGGAAGAACCTGGCCGCAACGCACCTCAGACAAGCGGTAGGGGCTGTTTCTAATGTTTTTTTATCTCACTCACTCACTCATTCAATTTCTCAGAGTGCCCCCACCCCTATTAGACTGTTTGTGGTCAAAGACTGCTGTTATTCAAAGCTGAATTCCTGATGTTTGCCTTCTGGTTTAAGCTGGATTCATAGCTTCTGATGTTTGTTGTTTGCTAATGAAACATTCTCTTTTATCCCACAGAGTGTACAGAAACAGCAGCTTGTCACCAAGAAACAAGAAGACCTGGAGTACGACCGCAAGAACTTTGACCTCATCGCCGTCGAGGAGCAGCAGTTCCAGGAGTACGCCGGTCACGTGATCAAGAAGGCGGTCGACGGCGGGAGGAACCCGTACCCGCTCATCAAGGCGGCGCGTGAGGGCGCCGGCGGCGGGAAGGGACCGTTGTTTGACGGGAAGGGAGGGATCCGTCCCAGCTACATGGCGACTGACGGTCAGGGTACGCAGCTGTCGGCTTACCAGGGTCCCACAACTGAGGATGTTAAAAACATACACATCGCTCCCGCAGATAAAGCCAAGAAAAGACTAGGATTTGTATGGTGAAGTCAGTAATCATTGATATGTTGTTAACAAGGTTGTACAGTAATGTATGTTGTCTCATACGTTAAGTGTTGAAATGTCTTCATAAGATTAAAATGCACAGAAATGATACTGAAACATAGCATATACATTGTATCATTGCAATTTACTTTGCAGTTTACATATGCTACAGTTATCGTTTTGTTTGATTTTACGATTCATGAATTCTGGCCATTACTAGAAATATGTCTACATGTATATATTGTGAAGTGTTATGTCAGCAAGATTATTACAAGAAAAACTACTCTTTTGTATATTTTTCATGTAGAAACAGATGGAGATTATTGTAAGCCAGTGCAGTAAACTGTTAAAACAAACCACAGCTTGCATGAAGTAGGAAAGTTTACACTTGCCCTCAGGTTACATTACATGCAGTAAATAAACATGGGTGTAGAAAATAAGATAGACATGTCCTGTGCATGATATGCCAAACTTTAGAGTTACAGTTTGTAACATTTGCCAGTTGCTTGGCTGCTAACAGGCAAGGCTTCCAAGTTATCACAAAGAGATTTATTGCATTGTTTCAAATAAAATGCATCCATCTTGTACAGTCAAGCCTACACATGCTTGGTGTTTCAGTCATTTCTGACACAAATTCTATTATACATGTACATATACTTTTGATAGAGAATAAGTGTGGATGTATAGATGGATGTACATATGTATGTATAGATGGATGGATGGATGGATGGATGAATGGATGGATGAAGGCTACTTCAAATTCAAATATTCAAGTTGTGACTTTTTGGAATGATCTGAGACCGTTATCATCATATCTGTAACAAAAGCATCAGTCAGCCATGCGGCAACTGCAGCGCCCCCTGTGGCTAATCTAGGTACTGCAACCACCTGTTAGCAGGTGATCTGAGCAGTTAGCAGCCGGACACGCCCACTTGCAAAGTTAGACGGGCGCGTTCTAGAATCTTCCACTGTCATGGATCTTTATGTAAGATAAACACAATCAAATACTTATCAGTCTGCATTTTACAAACATTTCCTAAAATTGATCTACTAAACAAAAATACACTCATGACTCACTTGTATCAAGGTAACGTTACCTGCACTACAGACCAATTCTGACCAATGCGATTACACAATTGCTTAAATATATTTAGTCATCCCTGTCTGTATGAATCAAAAATTCCATGCCAACATGTCATCGCCAGGCCAACGATGTCACTCACCGTCCGGGTGAACTTTATCTGATCTAAAGGGTTACACATTGGCAAGGTGCGACGACCTCTAACGTTATACAGTCTACTCCAATCCAAGATGGCGACAGGACTGGGGCATCTACTCTCGATCGGGCTGGGTCTGTTCTACTGCACTACTGGTTTACCCAAGCTCTTCTCTTTCATTCCAGCACACAGAGTTTTGGTAAGGAAAGTCTTCTTTTGTGTGTTTGACAGAACGGTTACGGTTTGTGGATTATTATTTGAAACGTTAACGTTTGTGATTCGGGATCCGAAATCATAGGCGACCAACGCCTATTTGTTCTAAGGGTGCGAAAAGCACGCACTCACTTTAATAAGAATGATAACGTACTCCAAATTGTCATAACACTTCAAAATTCAGTTAAAACTACTATGCATGCCATCGGACCAAGCAGAGTATTTCCACCTTTCTAAAAAAATTGCTCTTATATGATCCGATTACTGTATAGCATTAAAGTTTCTGAAGTACAAATGTATGAGTAAGCAAAAATAGAGTTGCATGTGTCTCGTCTAGCTAAAAGACGGTAAACATACTACAAGATTTTGTGGGTTATGGTTAAAATAATTCAAGAGGAAGGATCACTGACTCTGGCATTACTGTACGTAATGAAATTGATATGAAATAAGGTTCGGAGCGATAAATTTTTCAATGTTACAAATAAACCGCTACCGAAGGTTTTATTAAAAACGGTTGTAAACGCTAGTGTATTCCCTGACGTACAAAACAAACTAAAATAACGTGTCCATGCGAGTTAGACAATTTCCCGTAGTGAATCCAAGGAGATTATGATGGCGTAACGCATTTATTTCAAACCACTACTTGAACTGAGATTCAGAAACTTTGCGCAGAGAAAACCCAGTGTATTGCGCCAGGCCACTGAGCGTACATCTACCTTCAGAGAATATCGGACAAAATCTGACCGACCGACCGAACGCTTGTCCGGTTCGAGAGGTATCTATAAGCGTCACGACAGCAGAGACTCACGTGAGCCAGTGTAATTCTATATGTTTGACCTGACCTTCAATCGGTCACTTATGGCCGACGGCCGATGCAAACCGGACGTCGACAATCTTTTCATCGTACATCCACGAATGTCGAGTTTTTGAATTGACTGAAATTTTGTTAAGAGTGCATGGTTCTCCCGTTTTTGATTTCTGAAAAAAAAAGCCTGTTTTATTTCGCGTTTTAAATCAGTTAGTCGGTCCCCGAAGCTTTTTTTTAAAGTCAGTACAAGTCGGAAAGCAGCATGAAACCATTTTTAACGAGAATGATAAAATTTTCCGGCATACAGTACTTTTCTTTCATCATACCTTAATCATTCGGCCTGGGGGTGTCACGCTTAAGGTAAGTTTTACCTTCGACAGCCCTGACCGACGAAATGGTAAACGAAACTTCGGTCTGATACCCGATGAAAGCTGACCCTCGTAAAAAAGCAGGCCAACAATGGCTGAATACATCAGCGGCGGACTCGGTTTATTCTACGTAGCGGCTGGAGCTGTCAAACTGTTTCCGTTCATTCCTGTACAAGCTAAGCTGGTGAAAATCTGTTATGTTGTTGAACAATGCATGAATGATCCTGCTAGCGGGACTACCATCCGTTTTGTAACGGGGCTCCTTGTTCTCGCCACGGGTCAGCGAGTGCAAGGAGCCCCGTAACAATTGATTAAAACGGATTGCAATGGATTGCAATGGAATCACACTCAGTGTTGTAAAACAGACCCACTGATAATAGAAGAAATTCTCAAATTCTCAGTTTCTTAAGGAGATTTCCCATATTTCCCCTAATCATGGAAAAGGTAACGTTTACTTTCCGGCACCATGGCTTGGGGTATTCAAATTACATGACAATTGTTAATGCTTATAACATCAATGATAGGCTTTAATTGATGCATACTGTTTCTCTCTCTGTTACAGAAAGATGACTTTGTGAAGTTTGCGACAGTGTTTCCCCTGAAGCCGTTGGGAATCGTCCCTAACCCGACCCTGTACATGTACGCTGTGGGAGTGATAGAGTTCGGCGCAGGGGTCATGCTGGGACTGGGTTCACACGAACAACAAGTCACGAGTATGTACCGTTAACTCTCCAACTCTCGCAATTTGTTTCAGTCATTTTTACCCAGCTGTGCCAGTATTTCTGATGTCTACCTGCACCTAACCTGCACTGGTCCATGTACTAGGTATAAGCAGGTTAGTGCAGGGGAAATTGGAGCTGTGCAGGTATTTCCGGTGTCTACCTGCACCTAACCTGTACTGGGCCCCAGATACTATAGAAAGAAGAAAAATTGACAGATTCCTGATTATGATGACAGTGGAAGATTCTTTGATAATATTAAATTGGTGAGTGATTCTTGAATCTTAGTGTACATACAAAAGTTTAACAACTCATGTATTATGTATTATGTACATGTATTAAAGAAATCCTACATGTATTTCTAGGTGCCATGGTCTTATTTGGAATAATGGTGGGAGGACTCTACACACTGGTGTCACTGGGGAGGAAACAGACTGACTGGATCCCTCCAATTGTGTGCATGGCTTTACTGGGGCTGTACCTGTTCCAGACTCTATAGTAGAATTGAGTGCTTAGAACAAATCTTAGGTACAAGAGTTAGGGTACTGTGGCATGGATTACAAACTAGATATCATTTGATTTGTTTTTATTGCTTAATTTTGCTGCAATCATTGCCTGTTGATGCATTCTGTTAGGCCTGCAAATATGATCTCTGCATATATACTCGCGCATAGGCACAGATACTTTTTTCTGTTGGAATCTTTAGGTCTAAGATGACGATGAAAATACAAAACATTCTTGCCCATTGAAACAACTGGACAATTTCATATTTAGCTTTGGCTGTTACATATGATATAATATTATATGTAACTGGAAACATAATATTATCTGATATGGTGTTCACTGTTTGAAAAAGCAGTACTTTACATGTTAAAAGTATCGATTTTTTAACTGAATATTGTGGATACAAGTAGAAGAATCATATAAAAAACCAAGAATTTTGTATCATAACTCCTTACGACGCACTGCATAGAAAATGGTAGAAAAAGTCAAATCTCTTTGTGCAGTCTTCTAGACATCTTTCTCCTCTGCTTCTCTCAGCAAGTACAGACTCTCATCTATAAGGAAACTGTGAAGATGATAACAGACAGTTTTATTGAAAAGAGACACCTTTGTTATTCTTGTGATCAAAATGTGACCAAACTTTTTAAGTACGCTTTTCTGATTAGTATCAATGCCATGTTATATTTCTACAGATTATTAAAAAGTTATCATAATGTTTCCCTTTGAAGTCTTTCTTTTTACAGTATGGAATAATTTTCAGCACCAAGGACAGGCACAATGCATCAAACATAGACAAAGTATCCCAAAGCACATAGGTTATGAAAACAAAAAACAAACAAACAAACCCCACAGAACTCACCTGTACCACAACGGCACCACTGGCGCTGTCCCAGCATGCCACAGTGAGTGGGCATCAAACGTCCACCATATTGGAGGGAAGTCGCCCAGTTCCAGTAGCAGCAGACAGTTGACGGAGACAATCGTGACGATGCACTTCCACATGTACCTCCGCTGTCGCACGTTTCTGAATGCAAACCCCAGCCAACAGAACGCATTCAGCTGCCCTGCAAGAACAGTACAATAAAACATCTCACTCACACTCCAAAATGTAAACACTTTCAAGACTGCAATTAGCAGAGTCCCCTAAAGATGTCACACCCCAGTTTGTTTCATATTTGCATTCGAGGCAGCACACCCTCAAGTTTAGCGACCATCTCAACTTACTGTAACATTAAACATCAGTAGAAAATTGACATTGAAAATCCAGTTTTGCCTCTCCCCCTCAAATCGTTTTGGATGGCACTACTCTACACTGACTGGTAAGGATAACTATCTACATACACTGACTTAATAAAAAAACTCTCCTCAGAACTTACCCACTGCCACATTGGCCAGCATGTTGTAGCCGTAGTCAAACTTGACAAAGCCCAGGTAGTACACATGGGAGCTGAACAGTGCAGCTAGCAGGGCTCCAAATACGGCAGACTCTTTAAAACCACCAAACCTACGAAAAAAAGGATTTTAAGAATACTAGTATGTAACATCTGACATTCAATAAATAAGGTCAAGTTTATGATTTGACATGAAAAAATTTCATCATGACCTTCATCTTCTACAAAACAGAATAGATTATTTTAATGAAATGAAATACCTGGTAAACCACATGAAAAGCTGGAAGACTATCAGTGATGTGGCACAGAAGTAGTCCATTTTCTGGTGGGAAAAGGATTTGATGATTAATTTAATTATGTCATAGTCATAAAGATCTGAGATGGTTCATTTAATTAAAATGTTTCATTCTACAACAAACATACCGCACAAATAAAGTCTGGAAAATACATACTTCTGTGTGTGCTCAAGTGAAACTGAAAATAAAGACAACATGTTTGTATGTACCTCTGTCCATGAAAAGTCCCTGGTGTGAAAAACTGCTGACCAAAACCAGGCATTGATGGAAACCTGAAACAAAGTTGACGTTCTTTCTAACAGTATGTTACAGAACAGAAAGATAAAGAGGAGCAAAAATGGCCCAGAAGTTAAATAAACACATTTACTTGAAAAGATGAAAGGAACAAGAAATGGTTTAATGGTTGTCATTCTACCAGATCAAGCATCAAAGCTTGAGACTTACTGCAGCTAAACAGTGCACCACACTGTACAGTTTGGCATGGCTTGGCACTTTTCTCCTGAACACCCCTATCATCACAACATGGCCCAGTCCATTCAGGATGGAGAAGACAACTGAGGCTGGTTCCTGGATACCAAGTACACGGACAAACGGCCACTGGAAATAAAAAAAGAAGCAATAATTTTACAATATTTTGTCGATGATTGGACCAGTCTTTTGGCCTATGTGTCAATGGAAAGTTTCCAGCACAAAGCACAGGTTTGCTGGTCTGTCTGTTTTGTTTTGTTTCCATGTGTGTCTTTAGGTAGTACTCAGAACCAAGGACAGTGCTATTAGCCTGTGTGTGTTGTTAGAAAGCTTTCAGCACTAAGGACAGGTTCTTTAGCCTGTATGTGTATCTTTGAAGGGCTTTCAGCACCAAAGGCTGGTTTGTAGGCCTTTGTGTCTTTGTTCTGCCTTTGGAAATCTTTCAGCACCAAGGACAGGTCTGTCAGCCTGTGTGCTCCTTGTGTCTTTGGTAGGTTCCAGCACCAAGCACAGGGCCATGCACTCGCCTGTGTTTGTGTGTGTGTGTGCCTTTGGGAGGATTCCAGTACCAGGAATACAGCTGTTGCCCCATGTGTGTGTACAAAATCAGTAAAACTTCAGTGTAAGGCACAAAAAATAATTACAACAGTGTTCTTCCTCCCTGACCCAAATGATGCTAAAATCAACCTCACCTTTCCGTAAAACTGTGGTACGACAGCCCTGGGGTCAGCCTGTATCTTCTCCACTGTTCTCCACATGCAGCCATATTTACACTCCTCCTGACAGTACCAGCCCAACATCAACATGTACATCGGCTGCTGTTGCCCAAACCTCTCCAGGGCCCTCCCTGTACAGGGAATGAATGAAGGGATGAATGGAAAATAAAGAAAAGAACAAAATAAAGTAATGAATGCATGAATAAAAGTTTTAGTACATAACGGTGAGTGAAATCACAGAAAATAACGGGAAATGGTGTAACCACGGACTGACAGGAAGGTCTAATTAGAAGTCAAAACTGTCTAACCATAGGCTGGGAGGAAGTTACAATAGAATGTGCACAAAATCAGTCAGAAATTCACACAGTTATGAATAAAAACAATCTAAACATCTTTGATTTCTTAATCTTGTGCAAGAAATTGCAGCTGTTAAATCCTACTCCAAATAGAATACCTGTGCAGTTGTTCTTCCAACAACCAGAGAGACATCTCTGGAAGGGCCTGGACAGGTCCCCCAGGGAAGCAATGGATCCTGGGATTGCCCAGAATATACATAGCAATCCCAGAATGCCTTGCATCCTCTGCTGGAAGACCCTAGTGAGAAAAAATAACTGTCACTGATTGGTCAGTTCAAAACTTATCCGTACTGATTTAAACATGTATGGCCAACTATTAAGTTTTACAAATGTACTTTGTAAAAGTCACCAATATAGGATCTTGAAGAAATGGTTGCAATAGACAAGACAGAATTCTTAATGCTAAAAGTTAAGTATGTTTTGTTAACTTTTGATATTTCCTACATACCCTCATTGCAGAAAACAGAGAAGAAAACACCATGAAAGAAAGTCTAATGATTTTATTCTCACAAAAAGTAATTCAGAAGATTTCTGTAATTTTCAATGTCAATGTTATATCCTTACATATCTGTCATGTAACATACAGTTACATATGTATATTTGTTATTATTTACACAACTTCTATAAATAGCTGTGAGCAACAACAAAAATGTACAAAGGTTTAATTCACATCCTGTGTTGTACATTGCACTTGTTATTGATTCAAATCTATTTATCTGTGATAGCTAGGCAGGCAGTTCTGAAAAGTTAGTACATAGTAGGTAGTCAATAATGTAGTATAACAGGTATATATAAAATTACATTTCGTAACACAAGTTTTCACAGCTACTAGAGTTAAGTAAAAAAATCATGACATCTTCAGTTGTGTTTGTCTCAGCTGTTCTCTGCAGTCATCAATCAGGAAACTGAAAGAGAAAAACATGAAAGTTAGAACTTTCAGAAAATATATTTGATATCAATTCTTTTAAGTTAGACTTAGAGTGGCCGTTGTTAAAAGAAATAGTGTTACAATCTATGGAACTACACATATATCTACTAGCAAGTACCTTTAAGTTAGCCTTTTCCCCACTGCTTTAAACCTTTTGGCACCAAATTTGCAATTTTTTCCAGATAAGTCAGCAGGATGAAGGTTCAATTTTTACACAAACAACAGGTGCACACACCTGTACCATAGAACCACCACTGGTGCTGTCCCAGCATGCCACAGCGCATGGCCGTCAAACGTCCACCATATTGGAGAGAAGTCTCCGACCTCTAACAGTCCAAAAAGGTTAACAAGGACGATGGCGGTGCCGCATTTCCACATGTGCCGCTGCTTTCTGTTCTTCACTGCCAGACCCAACCAGAAGGCTCCATTCACTACAGCTAAACATGAGGATGTGGAAAACCAAAGACTATGAGACAAGCTCTCTAATTGGTCGAACTGTCAACTGTCTCTGATTGGTTGAACAGTCAAATCACTAATCATAAAGAATCAGTGCATGTACATATACACAAATCTTCTGACTGAATATGGCAACATTTTGACAGACTCACCTACTGTGACCATGACCTTCATGTTGTACCCATAGTCAAAGCTAACAGCAGACAGGTAGTACACATGGCCAGCAAACAGTCTGAGCAAGACAACTCCAAACAGCAAGGACTTCCAGAAACCACCAAAACACCTGCAAAACAATGAAGTAAGTATTTTCTACAAATACTTTAAACAATATACACAACAAAAGGTTAGCTCCTCTGGGGCACTTTTCAAGCCTTGAAAATTACCTGCACCAGACAATTGTTTTAGAATAAAGGATTTTGGGCCTTGCCAAAGTATGAAGATCAGATTCAACTTACCTTCTAAAACAGTGAAACAGTTGGTAGAGAATGATGGATGTTGCACTGAAGTAATCCAGTCTCTGTAACAGGTAGATTTGAAACAAAATATGTTGAAAGACTAAGCAACTTCCAAGGGATCTTTTTCCTGTAGCAGCAACATTACAACTGATAACAGTTATGGTAATCAGAAAAATGGCAATTCATCGTACCTGTTATACTTCAATTTACAAAAAGCAAACCACACTGAAGTTACAGTACTAAACATACCTCTGTCCACACTAGGTCCCTAGTATGGAACACAGTGGACCATACCCATGCATTAACAGCTACCTGAAAGTGAAAAACAGAAAAATTTCTTAGCTATACATTTGGCAAAGATACTCACATTACATCATATACAACGTAATACATGTAGCATCATTCAACTGTCTCAACCTATATAAGATACTAGTATGAGAACAGAACTCACCAAAGCGTACACATTGACAGTCCAGTACAGAGGTGCTTCTTTGGGCACTCTGGACCTGAACACCCCCACCATGATGAGATGGGCCAGTCCATTCAGAACAGAGAACACCACTGAAGCTGGCTCTTGGGCTCCCAACACTCTAACAAATGGCCACTGGGAAATCAAGAGAAAACATCATGTTACAAGAAATCAGAGCCTTTAGATTCGAAGTCAACCAAAAGACTACCTTGCCAACTTGCAAACTGGCAAAAGTGGCAAATAGGTCTTGTGGTCAGGGTTGTTGACTCAGAATCTGAAGGTTCTGGGTTAAAATCCATGGCGGGCCATAGTGACGAAAATTTGAATAAATAAACTGGATAAGCTTAGAGCTTACTTTTCCATAAAACTGTGGCACATCTTTTCCAACCCTCTGAAACACTTCCACTGTTTCCCACATACACGTGTACTTGCACTCTTCATAACAGTCCCAGCCAAGCAGGGTCATGTAGCGAGGCTGGTTTGTGTTGAAGTGCACTAGTCCGGTTCCTCGGCACTTTGTGTTCTCACAAGTCTGTAGACAGGAGAGGAAACTGTATGACCTGTCACCTAGAGAAGCAAGGCATGCTGGGAGGCTGGCAGCAATGATGGTGACTACTGCAATGATATCCATTTTCTACAAGATGTTGCTCCAGGTCCAGAAGTTGTTTTTTTTTCTTTGCACCTGAAAAAACAATGAAGCTGATATCAGTAACGAAACAATGATTCATAATTTCATATCGTAACCAAACTAATCCAAAAACAATCAATCAAAATAAATCAATAAATGAATATTATGTTAATATTTTTGTTAGAAATGGGGGGAAAGAATAGGAGTTAGCGAGCTTTTACTTAAGAAAAATAAAGCCAGCAGAGAGAATAAACAACAAAAAGCTTCTTGCTTGAGTCCCAGATGACTGTCTGAATCTGAAGAAATACACACTTGCAAAGTTGCACCCAGGAGTAACAGAGTTATAACTTCAATACTCACCCTGGATGATAAAAAAAAAACTTTGATGAAATCTGCCAGCTGGTGACCTTAGAATAGCTCCAAATAACTGAATGAAAATTAAACTTAGGGTTTGAAATACCCACTCTCACGCTCTGGTGATACTAGTACAAGTCCTGGTTTCTACATGCGAGATATACATAGAAATTGGGCAAACTGTAGCTGTAGTTCAGTAAAATGCAAGAAAATATACTTGAGGTATACTAATCAATCATTCATTACATGACCATCACAACTTCTGACTTGAAAGTTATAGTGGGTGTGGCTGCTAGGTATCAATGTTATGACCTCTTGACTCATAATGATCCACAAAGTGTCAATCTTTACATGCCAACTATGCAAATTTTTTTTCATCAGAAGAGAGGCCAACACAACATGAAAGCCAACTATATTCCTATTGTTCTTGCAAAACAAATTATAATATTATTATTCAAATTATTATGACTTCCAGACCAAGTTGAACAAGTTCAACACTATTCAAAACGTTATAGAGTACCTTTAAACAAACTTGTACCAACGAAATCGCAAATTATTGCAACCATGCACTTCTGTTCAAGCTCCACGCGAAAATTGGACCTGTATATTCATAAATATAAACATAAACACAAACATACAAGCACGTTCACTCCATCCAGGTCCCCTTCCTGGTTTGAACTGGACTTTGGTACTTCAAGAAGTTAAACCTGTTCTGATTGGTCGCTTCGATGAAAAATACTCATTCTAAACCAATCAAATGAGAGGTAAATTTCCACAACATGACGTCATTCTGTGCTCTGCAGGATGGAATGTTACATTTCTAAAGATGGGTTATCGAGTTAACCATTTTTCGTAGAATATATTGTTGATTGAGCAATCTGAACATTTTTTACTAATTTTCTCTGTACCAAAATATCTTATGTGATAATGATATTACAAAAGTCTCAAAATATCAATGTTATGCGAGAAATTATTGACACAATTTTTATCCCTCCCTAAAATAAAACGACTGTTGGTTCGACTCTTCTTCCGCCATTTTGGAAGTTTACAGGAACTGAACATCACCCATCAAACAGGTGCAGCCCTGGAATTTTCGTTTCGGGACATGAACAAACTGGTCTACGATGGTTTGTCCTTCCTTATTTTGTTCCTAGTGCTCCTGGTGTGCTTGACGATTCTGTAACGAACGTCCAGCGGCGAGCAGACCGACTGCTGAGGGATCGCACGTTAGAGATGGCGAGCTCGGTGGGAGGCGAGGGTGGCCCCGACGACAAGTCCGTTCTGCACGTCGTTGTGGTTGGGTTTCACCACAAAAAGGGCTGCCAGGTACAACTAATTAGATACAAATCTATATGGAAATGTTGATAACATTTAGTTTGAATCACTACCTTACAAGGTATTGCATTAGTTGATCGTTATATAACGTTTTTTTATGAAAATATGATTGTATGATATTGTTTCTTAGAGCAATATTATGAACACCAATTAAAATGTTATTATGATTTTGATTAAAATTTTGAATTGTCGTCATAGACAAGAGTGTAGCTCATAGAATTGTCTGTCAATGCTGCCATTTTCTGTTGTCTAAAGCTATCAAATATAACTCCCATGGGAATATATTGATTCGGTTCACTAATTAATGATTCGTGCATATCATTATGATAATTTATTTGTCAGTTTTCCACATCTTTTCTAGTCTTTAGGATGCAGAATGAATGATATGTAACAATAGTACAAAAGTGAAAAATGTTGAACATTTGCTTGTGTCTAGACATCAAATGTTATAAATATACCTTAATATATGCTATGAATTATTGATAGATCAGCCAATACAAATTCTACATTTGTAAAGCCATATTGATAGGGGTGTGCATTGTTGTATGGAATTATTGGACAGGCCTTTATGTCGTAACAGCTGTTTCTGAAAATACCTTTTGTAGCAGCCGATCACCACTTTAATACCTAGATCCTTTGTTTGGGCGTGAGAACCATTCACTCATTCCAATTTCTGTTTGAAGCTTAATGGACGAAAATGGGAGACTCAATATTGACTATTGGATAACCTTGTCCCTTTGCCTATTATTAGATAGACATCAGATGGCAAGGTGGTGCTGGGTTGTGCCCTGGGAAAATGAATACCTAGCTAGCTTCAGTTAGAGACGTCCTCATGGACTTGGACGTAAAGCCCTGTCCCTTGTTTGAGGAGAGTGACGCCGCAAATTGTGCCTTAGTTATGAGTGCTTCCCATATCTGTATCTGTATAGCCGGTATAACCGCCTTTCGGCGTAACACACCAGCTGTGAGTCACTGAGGTTTAAACCTTACAGTTCAGTCTTACACTTGTAGTTATTGTTCCAAACCAGGTGTGTTGTGCTTATAAAGGCATTTACCAGTTATATGAAGGAAACAAACAAATACCGGTAAACTTTGTGTCGTGTAAATCCCTGTCCTCACAGATAGAGTATGCGTACCCTCCCCTGTTGGAAGGACAGCCTCCTGACAGCCATGACCTTCCTGATGAGTGGAAGTACCTTCCCTTCCTGGCTCTTCCTGATGGAGCTCACAACTTTGAAGAAGGTAGGTACTGTAGCAGTACTGTAAGTCCATTTATTTTCACGGGAAGTTGATTTCTTGGTAGAAAGGGAAAGAAGGTTTTCTCAGTGTTTCTAAGCTCAAGAAGTCCATCTCTCATAACATATGTACCGGTATGATCGTGAGCATTCAAGTTTGGTATAACTGCCATGTGTACCGTACATCTAGTTGCAATTCTTCTTTTTTGTTTTCTCCATTTGACAGATTTTATCTACTTCCACTTGCCTGGGAGAGGAGGCAGTAAGAAGACAGTGTATGGTGTGTCCTGTTACAGGCAGATTGATGCAAAGGTAGGTGCAAACTGTTATAGTGCTGCCATACCCCAGAACCGATATAAATTTGGTGCCAAGCAGACCTTCTTGGTGATCTGATTCCCCCTGGTAGAATTATTGTACCAGCCCTGCACTGTGATTGGAAGGCTGAAGAGAATACGCAGTCAGCACCAAGGACAAACCCAACTGCCACATGATTGTTTTTCTGATGAAAACGTTTGTGACATTATCAGTAGTTTGTCAATTCAATTCAATGTTTCAGACAAATCAACATTGTTGGCTCTTTCTGGACCAGTTTAGCAGTCAAAAAAGAAAATTTCCTAGGATTAGACCCCATGTTGTGCAGATTTATTTGATATCATCCTTTGACATTTTCCCTACTTAGGTCATCCAGTAACAAAACTAATAAAGGCTCGTCACTCTGCTCATCTTTAAAAGGGCAATCTTTATGATCAATCCAATCTTGATTGCGGAGCTTGAATGTTTGAACAATTTTACCCCAGACCCAATTAAGTCTGGAAGCTTGTTGTACAAATTTCTCCTCCACGATTTATGTTAAGTGATGTTGAAGGTAGAGGACGTTTGAAGGTCGTTTTTATCCCCCAGTGTCACAGTCGTCAGTAGATGAACGTAACAGACAATCTTAGCATGATAAATACATATGTACTCAAGCAGGGCTCAAAATACTTTGTTGTCTGCAATAGTGATTCAGAAAATGCGCAATATACAAATGAAAATGACTCCTAAACTGTTTAACATACCAACTACATGTACCAGTTTAGAAAGCGGCAAGAAAATGTACCGGTAGTATAACTGCTGTTGGCACTGCAAAAGGGCTATGCAGATATAGACACTAATACATGAATTTCTGTTTCCTGTAGGATTTGATAAACAGAGAAGCTGACATCACCAGGGAGACAGTGCAGAAAAGTGTCTGTGTTCTCAGCCACCTGGTAAGGATTACCAAATCTACTAGTTATGTTACTACTGATACTGGAGAGGAGGAAAACGTTATTGTGTACAAATCAGTAAATACATGCAAAGTATGTAACACTTTGTATGTAAATTTATAGTCAAATGCTGACATTTATGTTATGTGTGTACTGTTGCAGAATATCACTGTGCTTCTGTGTTATGTCAGTAAAGTTGTACTGTATTGAGAACCTGTATATCATTCCCTTCCAAACTCATGGTGTTTCCTATAATTCCAGCCACTGTTTGGACTCATTAAAGCCAAGCTTGAGCTGTGCACAGTGGCCTACTTTGAGGAGCGGGACTTTTCAAAAGTAACCATATTGAAGGTGGGTTCATCCTAAAGGTGGGGTCATCCTAAAGGTACATCATTTAGGAGTATGTACATTCTGCAGCCAATCTAAGCTAGTATACATGTAGCATGCTACAGTGTACGTGTAGTTGAAAGCATATTGTTAACTGTCTCAAACTTCCAACTGAACTGAAGGCAACAGTATTTTGACTATAACATTTATTATGAGATTACGTCAATCTTTTCAGTGTGAGGATTGATTTTGTCTGTTTTTCAGGAACTGTATGACAACTTGTCTGGATTGCTGTGTTCTGACCTCATAGATGGACCACAGGTTTTTATAGGTAATTATATTTATATAAATATGTATTTTTTTCTGTAGAACTGATTCTAACAGTTTTAAGGATGCTGATGAACCATTTATAATGTTATGAATGACTGTATTTTGTCTGTTTTTGTAGGACTCTCTGCAAGAGACCTGGTCTTACGTTTTAAACATAAGGTAATCTCCTCCACTGCGTCTTGAGAAATATTGTAAAATTTCAAATTTGAGTATGGAACATTTTATCATAAGACACTACTTTTTACCCTTTCTCTTATTTTTCTTGCAGCTTTTGGTTATTTTCAAGTTGCTGCTATTAGAAAGAAGGGTAAGTTATTTATCAATCATCTTCCTTACAAACTAGGTGATTCAGAAACAAAATGCTCGTTGTCAATGTCATACTGAGGATGGCTGTAATAGCTATAGGTCAGCCAAAGTTTTTGTTTTTTACAGCATAACTGTTGCAGACTCTAAGAAGAAATCTGTGCAATTTTTGTGACACTAATGAAGATTCTAATCAAACAATGTGTATGTGCAGTGAGCTCATGGCATCTGTGTTCCATCCACAGGTTTTATTCTACTCTTCACCTGTGGGCAGACTGTCCACCACTCTGCTGTCTCTGCTCTCGCTTTTCCCAGGTATGTGCTCGGGAATCAAACCCTGAACCTTTAGACTCTGAAGTAGTAACATTAACCACCATGTTACCGTGTGTTAGAAGCTACTAGTAAGCAAGTATTAGTCCAGTGCTCAAACTCAACTCAAAGTGATTTTTGTGGAATCTGCAATTTTGTTGTTAGAAGTTTTACCTGCAGTTTTCAAAAACTTGTAGAGTTCTTGCACTTTTGCAGGTGATTTCAAAAACATTTTGAGTCCTGTTATACATGTATGATTCTGTTACTTGCTCCGTTTGCACACAGAGTCTGTTGACAACATGCGATTAATATTTCTGTACTTGTGAACTCAGATTCTCGATCCTTTTGTCCTTGCAGGAGTCCTTCAGCAAGGCCTGTCAGAGTCAGTCTCACACAAGATCGGCACCCAAATTTCAACCGAGCTCATCCTTAGTGACTTTGGCATAGACACTGAAGAATACCTCGAGGTCCAGCTATCAGCTGTACCAGGCTCTGACCTGGAGGTGCAGCCAAAAAACACCGTATCAGAAGAGGAATTCAAGAAGAACCAAATAGACATTGTAGGGGGGACTGCAACGAAGGCTGGGGTTGGCTCGGCGGTTATTCTCACGGCGCAAGAGAGCAGCGACAACTCCACGGAACGCGATGAAGATGCGGACCATTCCTCTAAGACGTCCACGAGTACATACAGCACTGCGTCCGAACTCACCTCCCCAACTAACATGAGCGGCATCAGCAGTGACTGGGAGAAGGTTTGTATTTTTTTGTTGTTAATTGTTCATTTTACAGAATAACAAATTAACACAACAATAACATAGGTTTGTATGAAACAAGGTGGAACTGAACTGTAAACTTGTTTCATGATGACTTCTACCAACACAAATGAACTTTCAAGATAACACAAGTTTGTATTTTTACTCCGAGCACTGTAGTATTGTTCTGGCCTGCTGAGCTGTGGGTTTCTGTATCTGTTTGTTTAGATAGATTAGGTTGACATGGATTGAATGCGAAGGTCTCAAAATCTGGCCAACAAGAATTAGCGATCATTGTGGGGGAATTCAGGAAACTCAGAATTGCACTTTTCCTGTGATCTAAAATCCCCGATTGGTCTGGTTTATTAGTACTTAAAAATTTTCTCACTGTTTGGAGTGTGCAATTTTACTTGAATATGAATAAACAATAAACAACATTTCAACATCATCCAAAGGTGGAGAAAATGGAGGTGGAGGAAGCGGAGAACGAACTAAAGGCCTTGTCGAGCTCGGAGAACGGCCTGACGCCACGGAGCAGTAATGGAGAGAATGTGGGAGAGAGTGGAGGGATGATAGAGAGCGATGTCACCCCGAAGTCGTCCCCTATATTGTCGCCCAGCCCTTTCCCTACTGATGAGTTTGGCTTCCCTCTGGCTATATTCACCAAGGTGAGGCATGATTTTGTTTGAAGAAGTAAAAGTTTATAGTTGAACGCACCATTATTGCTATTCCAATTGAAAATGGAGGTGTTCAGGACCAATCTGAGATCCAGTTATTCATGTATTCACCTTTTTTTATACAGAAGGACTATGTTAAACTGAACTATGACTGGCTAAGTTAAACTGAACAACCATAATTTTGACTGGCATCAATATGGTAATTTTACAGGAAAAAATCAGTAATGTTGCCTCAAAAACACTGCTATACTGGGGGTATCCCAAAAGATCTTACTTGCCTGATCGGGCAAGTCTAGGCGCACATACACTTGCCCGATCAGTACTTTTCCTTCCCCTGTAACCTAGCCCTGACCCAGTGTCCTCTATCTGCCTGTGCAGGGTTCAGTTTGCCACCCGTACCTGGCCCTCCAACATCACGAGCTGCTGCAGGACGTGAACATCAGGAGTTTCCTCGTCGGCGCTACCAACATTCTCTTCAAGCAGAGGAGACATCTCACTGATGTCATTGTAGATGTAAGATCTTACACATTTGGAGAACAATGGTTTAGTGCCAATACAGTCAAGCCTGTACGAGTGGCCACATCTACAAAAGGACCACCTGGCCAGTCTGACCACAAGTCTTTATAACAGTTGTGGTGATCCTGTATTTTTTCTTGCCTCACAGACATCATTTAAGATGTAAGACCTTACAGATTTGGAGAAAAATAGTTTTGTGTTAGTACACTCCAGTCTGTTCCACATCAACATAAGGACCATGTGTGTGGTCATATTGGTTGGCCCAATTATATTATGATTGTAATAAAATATTTTCTTCTCATTAACAGATAGAGGAGGATAAGATTGAAATCTATGACGCAGAACTTAGGAAACAGCTTCACCTCCACACCGCAGACCTGCGCTTCGCTGACTTCCTCGTCAAACATGTGGTGGAAGAAAGAGACGACATCTTTCTGGACGGAACTGGTAAAATTTTCGATATAACTGATTTTTCCTTTTTTTCTCATTTCATAGAGGTGGTTTTCTGTGTATCTTTCCATTATGTGCTCTCTAAATACTGGTTGTTCCAATGGTTCTGATTTCCAATTTTGTCATTTCACTCTAAGTGTGATACTCTTTTCAACATTTTAGTACAATTTTTGATGTTGTAACCAGTGTTTGTGTGTGTGTGTGTTCTCTGTGGCATCTTTACAGCTGAACAAAGTCATGTCGGTAAGTTTCACAAGTCAAAAGTCAACATATGTTATTTTTTTTTATAGTTGCATGCATGATTTTTCACATTGCTCATTTAAATGCTGCATTTACATTGTAAAATTTAGTAACCCACATTTTCTATTAGTTAAGATTCTTGTGGGGGTCTGAGTAGGGGTGGGTACCGGTATAGAAAATTCAGGTCCGGATCAGGTTCAGAGGATCAGGTCCAGGTCCGGACCTGAAACCGGACCTGATTATTGTACAGTAGTATACTGTATAGTATATCATATTTTGGCAAGCGAGACACAATTTCTTGGTGTACACGACACGGCCGTGCATGAGGCCGCTTTTCCCGATGAATAATACGGCTGAAATGCCAGCACATCCACAAATAATTTGATCAAATACTTAATTGCTGCGATCTAAAATGTTACAGGGTTCTCTTAGCGGGGGTTGTTTATTGTTTTGATTGGTAAAACGCAGGGTAAAATACGCTAAAAATTTAGCCACGCCGCGGTCCACACTTCCGGGTTAAGTGACGACAAAATCACGTCGAAAACGCTAAAAATCCGCATAGAAGCATATATTTTCCCCAAAGATTCTTGAAACTATACATTTCTTCACTAGAATATCGATGTGTGGTTGTGGAAAATAGCATTTTAGCGCCGATATCGAACAAAGAAAAGTTGTTTACACGCGCGTCGGCTCGCTCAAGTCTGCCGCTTACGCTGCCAGCAGCGGGCGCAACAACCAATCAGAGATGCGAAATGCCGACACGTGACGCGAGATTGCTTCACAGCCTGAACAATGGGGGAGGGCTCGCCGTGCACGAAATATTTTTGCGTCAATATTCAGCGCCGTGTTTCAAGAGATTAATACCGGGAAACAATTTTTTCTTGTTTTTGAACGCATAAACATGGATTTAGGCTAATCTAGTATGATTCAGGGTTATTTTTTTTTACCTGCCATGGCCAGATTATCTAAAGATGTGTGTGTTGTGTGTACAATGTACAGAAATGTACATCAGGTCCGGTCATCCGGTTTTCACGTTTCGGTTTTTTGGACTCGGTTCTTGAATGTTGTTCCGGTCCAAACCGGTCCGACTGAACCGGTACCCACCCCTAGGTCTGAGTATTCACCCTTGCAGTACACAGTCTTCATAAGATTCCCTGCAGAAATACCTGCATAGCTCCAATTTCACCTGCACTAAGGGGCATATGCACCCAGTATTTTGAGCCCTGCAATTAGTACATGTTGGTGTGGTGGTCCTGGTGTCCACCCTTGTGGTACACAGTGCTCTTAGAATTGTTGGTTTACCGTTCCAGGCTGGGAGGGTGGAGATGAGTGGGTGCGTTCCCAGTTCTGCCTGTACCTGCTGTCACTCCTGTCTACCACTGAGAACGGAGGTAAGTGCCAGTCATCATTAGTTTAAACTGTCATCATTGATCATGCATGATCACTCACTCACACTCACTATTCAGTTTATTGTCTATTGTTCCCCGTCTTTCGAGGGTTAGATATGCTTGCACTACATACTGAGGCTTGATGGTAGCCCGCCACTTGCCTCTGTCCTGTGGGTTGATGTAAGTTATGTAAGTATGTATTATGTAAGTTTTGTAGCAATCCTAAACTGAACAATTCCCAATGGTTAATGTTTGGCCCTTTTTAATTTTCTTTTTAAGCTCAAGAGACAAATTATCACGACTTCAACACTCAGTTTGTGGAGGCCTACAAGACAACCCACAATTACCGCCTCTGGAAGGCCACACAGCATGATGGGATTGATGCAATGCACACTGGGTAAGTCATCTCATCAAACACCATTGTGGTTTACCAGTGATTAAAAAAAAAAACACTCAGATAGAATATTGCAGATTTCTTTTTATAAAGTTCAAACGGCCCTTTGGTTGCTTGTAGATTTCATACAGTTGGGTAACGTTACTTTGTTTCTCTTTCTTCACCAGACACCCGTTTATGGGCCAGTACAGTGCAGCTGACATCAAGCTCAGATTGTCCCAGTAAGTCCATATATATATACACTTGACTTCAAGTCTTTTAAATCATTTCATCAAGTAAGGTTCCATAGATATCTAGGGTGAACATCACATATTTCTGGGAGCTATAATAGGTCAGGTAACCAGGCTATAATTGAGTCTGAAGACAAATTCTCAAGAATCGCCTATTCTATACTAGTAGAGAAACTGTTACCAGGGTAGTCACTCTTGTGATTTCTACCTTCCTCAGTGTGATGCAGAACACAGAGCGAGGCAAGCGCCTGGGAACAGCCGTGGCCAAAACCGGCCAGGCGGTCAACTCAGCCGTACAGCAGACAGGAAAAGCTGTGGGTAAGTTGTCACAACACTGTTCAAAACGCTACACTGTTGCAAACTGGACCTGATTTACACACAAGCAAAAACCTGACAGTACAAAAACTGCGTACTTTGAATTTTTATAGCATGTAAATCGGCCTGCTTTGACGTACATCAAGAATATAGATCATACACCAGCCCTCAAGGTAACTGCAGAATACCCAGTATGTCTTGACTGTATCTGACTGACTGTGTGTCCTCTTCTATGTTTAGGTGGAGCTCTGAATCAAGCCAAGTCAGCCATGTCCAACTGGTGGGCTCATCTCAATCAGGACTGGAAGACACAAGATGGGGAATAGATACTTAATACAACAAGAATACAACAGGAATGTACTTTTAAACAATGATGAATGGTATATCCTTATGTTGCACTTTATTTGTGTGGGATAGACTTGATCAATCAATAATGGTATATCCTTATGTTGCACTTTATTTGTGTGGGATAGACTTGATCAATCAATAAGATTACATAGGATATGTTTGATTTTTTTCCCCCTTGTGCATCCGAAAAGTGTTAAGCTTGGTATGTAAATAGTTCCAAAAAATGAAAAGATGAAATTATCTCTTGCAGACTGTAGGAAAGCCATGTTAGTTAGCAGATACCATTGAGGAAAATGGTGGCTCTGAAAACCTTCGGTTACTGTAGTAGCTTAAGAGTTGTCTCATACACAAGACAAGATAAAAATGTAAATAGAATAAGGATGGTGTTATTTGAACTTGCCTTCCCTTTTGGGGTGTAGTTGATTATTTTGAACTTGTTGTGTTCCTGGTTAAGGTTGCTGTAGAAGGTGATGTTCTTGGTGTTAGAGTTGAAGGTTGTATATTTGTGCTTATATGTTGTTACAGCAGCTGGTGCAATAATGTATTAAATCTCTGAATGTAGGTACCGGGTATATTACATGTCGGATGTGTTCCACGTCAAAGATCTATTGGTAAGTATGAAAGTATGACACACTAAAAGAGACTCAATACGTGTAAAAAAAATGATTATTTGAATGTTGTTTTGTCCGAATGTCCGCAATATAGCAAAGCAAGGTACATAGATATTGAGAGAGATATCTAGCATATTTTACACAAGAGCAATGATGTGTATATGTTGAATGGCCCGTTTCATTATAATGTACTACAATGTACTTGTCACCAATATGGAGTGAAACTGTGTATATGAGTTTATTTCAATGTGAAAGGCAGGGCAAAACATGCATACACACCTTTACAACTTGCCCTCCCACGCACACAAAAACAGATACTGTATCTATCTTGTTGTAACATTCCCTGATTCATTATGCAATTCTTATTCAGTGGTTAATTCTAAACTACGCAAAATACTTATACATGTACATGTAGTTGATGTTGCACATAGTCTAAAAAGGTTTCTGGTCTGTTTCAGTGTCTGAGTGTGTGGTGTATCGTATAACATTATGCATTTCAAACTTTGAAAATGACCTGTATACATGTACCCTGGTTTATAAGGGCACTCTTACCAGATAGATATAAATTATTGCGCTATGTACGTATACATTTTTTTACTTTCTAACACAACAAATTCTTAATTAATCACTGTGCTGTTCAAGAGGGAACTTTTATTTTCTACTATATCTGAAGCCATTACTTTTACCAAGTATTTCATTGCTGCTTATTGTTTCAAAGGCAAATACTGTATGATGTATGCAGCTTATCCGCCTTATAATTGTTGGTGTTGTTCCCAAATCAATATGTATAGTGTATTGTACATTATGTATGTTTTGGTGCACTGTCTGACTGAAAAAAAAGTAATGACTTAAAGTGTATGCTGGTGGGGAAAATATACATAGTATACATGTTTGATAATCTTGTCATCACACTGTTACACGTTGGAAAATGCATTAAATGTAATGTTCGTAGAAAATGCATACATTGTAAACATAGCCCAGACGAGACAATGCATTGTATGTATAAATACTATTCAATGACAACTATTGTGAGCCATGCAGTATCTTGGTCACCTTGCTTAGTGTTATCATATTATCATCAGGAATACCCTCAATAAAAACTATACATCACTACAATAGTACGGTTCTACTCTTGCTTTATTGCAAATTCTTACAAAGGACAATTAGTTATTTATATATATATATATATATATATATATATACACAATTATTTATGATGAATAATTTTTTATAATACTAGTACTTTTAGCAAATAATTGATAGGAATAAAGAGTCCTGTTTTAGTCATCATAAATTCACAAAATTATCCTATAAACAACACGGAAACCCTGAAAACGGAGCAAATATTGCTGTAGATACTTCATAAAATTCAAACAAAACCCTTTGCAAGTGTACATATATTAAACACCCCTACTGAAATGTGGTTTATTCCAACCCGGAAGTGAAAGTGATGATTATTACGTGTGCATTCTGGGAGAACGCAGACGTGTTCACGTAGGAGGGAGTAGGGAGGTTAGAAATTGCGTATTCAGTTGTAAACCTCTCGATAAAACGTCTCCAAACCTTGTTTTTCCTGGTTCCTGCACGACTGCATTGCTGTATGAGATAGTACGAAAGGTAAGGACCCTTTGAGTAGAAGTTAGGGCCCATATAAAATGCCCTATTTGCTCTATTTCGCTGGAAAAACAAAGGGTAGTGGCACGAAAGATGATGCGCACAAAATATTTTGTGTACAAATTTGACACCTCCATTTTAGTTCATAACACGTCCTAAATCCAGTAAGTTGAACATATTTTGTTGTGGTTTTCTTATAGCAATATTCAATATAAAAATTATTGTATGTGTGTGCTTGCCTGCAACCCAATGCATAATTTTATTTCCCCTTGCGTTTGTTTTAGTTTGTAAGCGTTACTTTGGATCATATCATGTTGTTTGATCCTTTGTCAGATGATCAAATTATGACGGATTAGTTTGAGCCCTCCGTGGATTACACATCTAGCTTTCACGCACGATTGAAAGGCACTCAAATATCTACATGTAGATACGGGACATAGGAATTATGTTAGTGCAAAGAAAAAAACAATTTGTTGGGTGCAAATTATTGCATGGGTGAAAAAGAGGCCACTAACTAGTAGATAATTTGACCTCCAGACTGAACATTTTTTAGTTCCATTCATATTCCATTCATATTATAATTTTTTATTATTTTTCCTTCCATGTGAATGTGGTTGTTGCGAACCCTGTAGATTGTGTTCCCCTGTTTAACCATACCACTGTGTTGTTGCATTTCGCCCCCCTCCCTCCCCACATTTTTAGCTGGGCCATACTAAGAAGTAAGAGAAAAGGTTAACCAACAAATGATACCATGGATCGTACGCAACCCAAAGGTTCGCCAAGGTGAGGAACATTACCGTGGCCCTGGCCGAGGGACGCGTTTGTTTCGTGTGGCACGTGTTTGGCACTAACACCGCTCCGACTTTGGTCACTTTTTTTTGTTTGTTTGTTTCGGATTCATTGTTCTCTCCTGTTCTTTACCTCAGCCTCCGTAGGCTCTACAACTGGTTCTTGTGACATGCCTTTAGCCTCTTCCTTCAGAAGTGGCTGGAAAGACAGCTTGTATTGCTTGTATAAATTTATAAAAGCCCCAGTGGTAGAGCCTAGTTAAGGAGGCTATTTGTTAACACATTCTGTCAGGACAATCTTTTCTAATTATTTTTGACTCACAAATTATCACTTGTGTTTTTTTTCTTTTACTTACCACCTCCTCACGTTGTTTGAACCATTTAGGTAATGCCTGAAGTTTGACAAATTCTAATCTTCTGTCAAAAAATAACCTGTTTACAGGAACCTTTCGGTGAGACAGTTGTTTCAACCCTCCTCTTGCACAGTGTTATGTTTATTATATGTTATTCATGTATTTCTTTTTTTTCTGGGTGTTGCAAAAAGGTATCATTTTGATGATAATAAATAGGCTTAGAAATTCATTCAAAAGATTAAGATACATGTAGGCCAACACACTACATTATGCAGACATAATAACACTACTGGTTCTCTAAATATTCTCATTGTGGTGAGTTTATTCTGCACTTTGCCACCTTGCTGGGCTCCTCCCATGTTTGCATACAATGTTGACGCTGCCTCTTTAAATTTGGTCTACGACAGTCTTCTTTTGATCAGGATAACTCAAAGCATACCACTAGGTAAGCATTCCAAATGAAAGATTTAGATGATGAAATTTATTGACAATTAGAATATACGTGTATATTTCAGAATTTGTTTATTCATAACCACTTGTTTAACAAGATAACGGTCAGTCACAATTGCCCTGATGAAGATGACAGATGGTCATCGAAACAAGACTGGTTGTGAATAAAGAACTACTACTTAACTACTAGTAAATAAAATGCTGTTCTAGTTTTCAGAATTCCTTTCAGATCCAAGGAGTAGTTATAGTTATAGTTATTACAAAATGTTTTTGAATCAAAACCAAGTAACATATCACATACAGGATATTTCAGGGCAAAGTATTAAATTTCCAGGATGTTTCTGTCCTCCTTGAGACTCATAGTGGTTCCATAAATGCTGCTGCTTCAAAGCAAGGAGGTATTTAACCTTCTTGTTCAAAGTGCATACTTGTCCATTGAAAAACTTCTGAAGTACAACTTTGTTATGACTACAACATAAGCTCTCAGTTCCTGGCTTTATCTGCACTGTTGTTATCAGGTTACTTGACCCGGGGTCTAAAGTCCTAAAGGCACACGTGACGCTCTTTTTTTTCTCTCTCATTAACTTGCATTGTCGCACTGTATGGTGCAAAGGCAGGGTAGTAAATTCAGAAAGGCGTGTGATTGGCCAGACTGCTAACTCAATCAATTCCAGTAGCAGCTGGCCTTTCTAGTTTTTCAAACAAAGGTCTCTGTTTGGTCAAGTGGTTTATAGCGATCCAAATACTGGCAAAGGCTGAAGGTGGGTTTTGTGTTCTTGATTTTGGTAACAGTCATATACTGGTACGTATGTGACAGGTACTTGGTTTTGGTAACAGTCATATACTGGTACGTATGTGACAGAGTAAAATAGATGTATACTTACCTTGGGTACGTTGTTAAAGATTAACATACTTATCAGTAAGGTTTCTGGTTCACCATTGTGTCTTAACCTCCACCAGAAAAACAACACAGGTTCAGGAACAATAAGATTCAGCCAAATAGGGTGAATAATTGCCCAGTAGAGTTTAGCCACCGTAGCGTACATTTAAAATACATGTAAACCTTCCCAAAGACTGACCCATCCGCCTGAGTTTAATTCTTTAATTTTTTGCTGACATTCTAATGATTCTACAATCCATTACCCCCATGGGATAGCCTGGTGGGAGACTGGTGGTGTCTGCTGGCCAAATTATGTCTGTTCTAATCTCAAGACACACTTGTATTTTATGATAAGATACCCCCTCAATGTGTATATCAAAAGTCTTGACACAGAAACTTCTAGGAAAGTTGCTGCCTTACATGTAACTACTTTACATATTTCATTACATAGCCACTAGGTATACCATAAGAAAGGACCACCTGCACCAGATTTCAGACTGCAAACTGGGTCAGCTTGCTTCAGGAGTAATTAGTTTACTGAGTTCTTTGTTAGGTTTGTTCACAGAAGCACTGAGTCCGAGTGTAGGTTTTCTTGGTGCATAATTTATAGAGAGCACAAAGGTGAAAAAGGATTAACGTCATTATGTACAATGTCTTTCTGCAATGCTAGGATTCTCAGCTACTGTGTGATGTGAAATTACAGTACAAAAGATCACATAGGTTACTGAGATTCTTAGTGAAGCTGTTTGGGTAAAGGGGTGAAGTCTGCCATCTCTCATTGTTCTCTCCCTTACAGAATGCCAGTTGGCACGTATATGGGGGTGAAGTCTGCCATCACTGATTATTGTTGAAATTACAGGGATCCCTGCAGCGGTATAATCAAAGACTGGATACTACTACCAGTACTTCAGAGTGATTGTAAGGGAGTGAATTCTGCCATCTCCAAGTCTAACCGGGTTTTTTCCATTCCAGAGTGCCAGTGGGCAAGTATAAGGGGGTGAAGTCTGTCATCTCTGATTGTTTTTGCCCTTACAAGTTACATAGTGCACAATGTAAGGGGGTGAAGCCTACCATCTCTGACAGTTGTTACCCTTACAGGGACAAGATTGGATACTACATTTGTACTAGTGCAGAGTGCATGTAAGGGAGTGAAGTCTACCATCTCTGATTGTTGTAACCCTTACATAGTGTGTGTAAGGGGGTGAAGTCTGCCATCTCCTACATTTTTTTTGTCCGTTGCAGAGTGCCAGCGGGCACCATGGGAGACGGAGGGACGACCTACAGCGGGGTGAACCCAAACGCGGTGTGGCTGAACAGCCGCGGCATCTGGCTGTCATACGTCATTGCCGTGACGATCCTGCACCTCATCCTGCTCAGCATTCCCTTCCTCAACGTGGCGCAAGCCTGGACGCTCACCAACGTCGTCCACAATATCGTAAGTAGTAGAAGTAGTACTAATAGCAGTAATAATAGTAGTAGTAGTAGTAGTAGTAGTAGTAGTAGTACATTTTGTAGTAGTAGTAGTAGCAGCAGTAGTAGAAGTGGTAGGAGTAGTAGTAGTAGTAGTAGATGTGGTAGTAGTTGTAGTTGTAGTAGCAGTAGTAATAGTAGTAGTAGTAGTGGCAGTAGCACCAGTAGTAGTAGTAGCAGTAGTGGTAGCAGTAGTAATAGCTGTAGTAGTAGTAAGTGTAGTAGCAATAGTAGTAGTACATGTAATACTAGTAGTAGCAGCAGTAGTTGTAGTTGTAGTAATAGTACTAGGCTTTCCTTGATCTCGTAGGATACGTACATCCATATACATAATCAGTTTCTACACAATGGTACTTGTCATTTGTACTTATTGCTTGTATTTACGCTTTAATAAACAAGTCTCTGTTTTTCAGGGTAACTACATTTTCCTGCACATGTTGAAAGGCACGCCGTGGGAGACCAACTGGGACCAGGGCAAGTCTCGGCTCCTCACACACTGGGAACAGATCGACTTTGGCGAGCAGTTCACCACCACACGCAAGTTCCTGTTCCTGGCACCGGTTATCCTGTAAGTGTTGTTGTAGGCTTGGTTATTGTTTGTTTATCTATTGGCAAGTTTCTGTTCCTGGTGACGATTATCGTGTAAGTTTTGTTGTGGCCTTGTTTATCATTGTTTGTTTATTGGCAAGTTCCTAGGCCTGTATCTCACACCGGTTATCCTTGAATAAGTGTTGTTTTTGTAGCCTTCTTTATTGTTTGTTTGTTTATTTATTTACAAGTTTCTATTCCTAGTGCTGGTTATCCTGAAAGTACTGCTGTAGCTGTTTGTTTGTTTGTATGTTTGTTTGTTTGTATACAAGTTTTCACCCTCTTTCTTCTTCCCTCACACTCACAGGTTCATCCTTGCCAGTTTTTACACCAAGTATGACCCCCTGCACTTCGTCTTCAACTTGAGTACCATGCTCCTGGTGTTGATCCCAAAACTCCCACAACTCCATGGGGTCAGGATTTTTGGAATCAACAAGTATTAAAGACCATCGGGGAACGGGGTAAACGGAGGACAGGCCTTGAGGAAGTGTTGATCACTTCACAAATTCTTAGTAGTGCTACTAGTAGTACTGCAATTCAGAGGGAAGAAGCTTAAAGACACCTAAAGCAATTTCAGAGTGGTAAAACTGGATTTTCAAAGTCAATTTTCTGGTCATTTTTGTAATATAGTAAGTTGAATCAACCTTAGTATCTGTGAGGCAAGAATGCCATGTAGCTGACCAAAAATGGTTGAATTTACCGCCCTGAAAGTGCATTGATAGAAACTCTAAACTTGTCACTAAATTTGATATTTAGATGAATCTTTGCATTACATCATATGCATTGATTTTCTTTCTGCTTATTCACTAGTTTATTGCAAATACACAAACACAATCATAATATGCATTGATGCATATACATGAATGTAAGTATTGATAAAGTTATGAAATCTCATGGCTTTTGTTATGTACGAGTGTCATACAATAAATGGAAGGAGAACAGTATGCTATATCAAGAATACTAGGTTGGGATGGTATACTTTATGTGGTATGCTACTAAATGTAGATTCAACTTCAGTTTGATATGTATTCCATAATATATAAATATATATATATATATTTGTGTGCACAGGAACCATAGTATGTACAAGCGGAAATTTGGTGTTGTCTGAAATAGAAAAATGGCACCAAATGATTTTTTCCACTGTCAGCCTAGCTCATTCACTAACTCACTCACCCACTCCATTTTATGCTTCACTCCCTATACTAGGGAGAGAAATATTTTATTTCTTCTTGTGTTTCTTTTTCCTCCTGCCATTTCGATCAAAAGATTAAACTTTTTCTTTCTATATTGTATTCTTTGACTCTGAAGAAAGAAATGCCAGAGTAAGAATTTTATGTTTCTACTCTTAATGTTTTGCATTGGTGCTTGTGATACCAAAACACCAGTATTATTTCATTGTAATCTTATTTTGAGCATGATTTCGAGGAAGACCATATCAAGTGGCAATCAACATGAAATATGGACAATTTGTATGTCTTGATCACATGTAATCGAGGAGTGTGGTGTGCAGGACTAAACTAGAGGGTTGTGGGTCAGTAATACTCTCGGGGTCAGGAACAAATGAACATGAACTTGTAATACCAAGAGGGAGACATGTTTGTATATCTTAAAGAGAGATGCTAAGGGTGATTATATTTTAAAGATTACACTGGATTTTCAGAGATATTTTTCATTTAAGAATTTCTAGAAAACCTTCTAGACAACTTTCGTACAACTTTCACAAAACCCCCTAGCACCCCCCTGCCCAAGTTGGGTTTCTTATTGAGTGACACTGACAGAAATCTCTTTTTGCTGTGTGTACCACCGAACTTTGTGCTGCTGACATTTCTTTTTCCTTCATCAGATGTTTTTTTAAGGAATTCCAATATCTGCATGGGGTTAAACCGTCTTAATCAGCACTTGCTTATTAACATGATGGCACTTAATGTTATACACTATACTGGTCAATATGTTTAAAAACATTACTGGGTCTATTTTGTGTTTTAGTTTTGCCAAAGGTATTGAAGCACTGCTGTTGAATTTAAGTATCCTTCATTCATGTATTATCAATTCTGTTTTCTGAAAGGATCTAACAATGCTTAGTAGGGTGAAAGAAAATGTATATAGCAAAGATACCCACTTGTAAGTGATGGCCATAGGTTGTGGGACTGGTAACTTTGTGACAAAATGTCCATAATTTCTAATCTTACATGGTGTAACGTAATTCCCCCGGGTAGCCCTAAGATCACCACATTTTTTAAAAAAATGGTGAATTGCTCAAAAGTTTGATCCTTATCTTAAAGTTCATCTGTGTTGCCTTGGACTTACCCAAATTTTTGACTCCAGTCTTTGTCATCTACATCAAGGTTAAACTGTAACATCCAGTACAAAAAATTGGATCCTTGCCAGTTTTAGATTCTGCATCAGTAAATCTCTTTAAATTCACCATTTTTAAATTTGGAGGTCTTAGTGTACCCGTAAGATTAACAAGAGTTTACGTTAATCTTCTATGGTGTAGAATTTCCTCTCAGAAATGATGAGGGAGTAAAAAGCAATGCATTACCAATGCAACATGTATCTTTGTGGTAGATGTCAGCTTTTTGTAGAGCATTTCACTGTATATTGAATAAATATGTTACATGTATGATAAGGGAAAAGAATAAAGACAATGGTCAGGAACTGTCTGTTTGTTTGTTTGTTTGTTTGTTTGTTTGTTTGAGCCTTTGTTTAATCATGAAATATTCAAATTTTCCTGCTGGCCACTTTCACCATGTTCATGAGGAAAGAGGTCAGGGTCAGACTCTGACAAAATATAAATTTAAATCCTAGTCCTACTCATTTATAATATTAAATAGTTTGGGGTTGATGAAAAAAAGAGCAAAGTATCACAGATGTCAGACCAGATTTTGTTGTGGGTTTGAATATTGTCTACCTATCCATTTCTCCAAAGCAATGAGGTGTCAAATCACCATGTTGATTTTAATCTTGTTCAAAGTACAGTAACACCACAGTCCCTACGTTATTAATAACAAAGTACATGTACATGTAGTTGACTTGTACTGGCCTACAGGCGCTAAGATTTCTGGGTAACCAAGATGGCGGCGCCCATGAAATAAAAAAAATCGAGCGACATCGTGTTGTTTTTGTGTGATTTTTACAGTTTTGAAGAACAGGTAAGAGGCGATGCGGAGGTAGACATGGTGTTCCTGACGAGGATACTCCAGCGCGCCCCCGGAGCACGGGTAGGTACGGTTCTTTGGACAAGCAGGGCTCTGTGTGCCCGTGTGAATAAAATTATGGGGGAGGGGGGCTTATATTTACTACAATTTATACATGTGCTACACATGTACGTCCTTTAGCATGCTGTTTTGATGACACAATCAACCACTGAACTACCCAGTATTAGAATGCACAATGTTCTTATGCAGACACCATTCTATATAAGACGACTGGCCAGTGCTGACAGCTGAAAATTTCATTTAACGTTAACTTAAAGTGCAACCTTTTTGCAAATCACAGTAGTAGCTAAAATCCTGCTTCAGAAATAATTCAACCCACACAGATGCATTCCCAAGCTTGAAGACTTTTAAGTATATTTTCTGCAAATCATTTTTTTGCTTCAATAATCATTATTTTTCTTCATTTTTTTTCTCTCTCATAACAGAAGCGAGGGTTTGTGGACAAGCTGCGTGTGTACGTCCGCGGGGGCAGCGGAGGGATGGGGCTTCCCAAGTACAACGGCAGGGGCGGCGACGGAGGGCACGTTGTCTTCGTCGCCAAGGACGACCTGACCTTAAAACAGGTCATTGACAGGACCCCGAACAAGAGGTTCATCGCTGGGGTTGGTGCCAACGCTACGTAAGTTGAGGTGGTATGAGGAGTTGAGTTAGCTAGTGAAAGGGTCAGAATGAACCACTCACATCAGAAAGGACCCCTACGTATATAACGTTACCTTTTTCATAAGTGTGGTGGGATCTTTAATGTGCTTGAGGTGTCGACTGGTTCTCTTAAAACTAGGTACACATTTTCCCCTGAGTTGAGTGAGGAAATAGGTGTAAAGTGCCTTTCCCAAGGGCACATACAACACAGCCTGCTGCCAGGGATTGGTATCTCCAAAACCTTTGATTATTCAGATTCTGAGCCAACAACCCTAACCACAAGACCAAGTTGCCACTTATTAATTCACATCTCGTATACACCCAAGCCAGCAGTGATCTTTCTTGTTGTAGGAGACGAGCCATCCAGGGAGACAGGGGGCCTAACCTAACAGTGGAGGTGCCGACGGGTATTACTGTACTCACCGACACTAAACAGGTTATCGGTAAGGGTAGAACTGGCTTACTTTCTCCATGAATAAACACCAGGATGGTTGTCTTAGACAGTTGTGATAGATCAGATTTTATGTATAAACCCCTTGAGTTGTCTATTTTGGGGCAGTTTTGTTTTGATATTTCCTGAAGTCTATGTAGTTGGGATACATTTGGAAACGTATCTAGTGCTGTACAATTTGAACCAGGCAGAATAGCCCTGAGGAAGATGACAGACTAAAATGTCGGCTGAATTACACATGGTTGTGTAAAAAGAGTCTCTTTATTCATTCTTAGTAGTTGTTCATACGTGTTTTGGGACTCCCTGAAAGTTAGACACATGTAGTTTTTGTGTTTCTGTTCCTGTTATGTTTTGCTGATTCCTGTATGTTCCCAGCTAACCTGAACCAGCCTGGTGACCAGGCGGTGGTGGCTAAAGGCGGCCAGGGCGGGGCTCACTGGTCAGACTTCCTCCCCAAGAAGGGACAGATCCGCAGTGTGACCATGGAGCTCAAACTCATCTCTGATGTAGGACTGGTGGGGTACGGAAATCCATGTACTGTCTTTGTACTCTGTACTTTAAGCTACCATTGACTAGTACAATGGCCAAGTGAATAGAGTGTTCAGTAGGTAGTGAGTTCAATCTCAGGCAGAGTCATACCAACAACTTTAAAATTAGCATTTGGGAAAGAGTATGGTAGTTTTTTTTTTTTGTATACAGCTTTTACATTTTATTGCACACATGTTTTCAACTTTTGATGTTGTTTTCAGGTTCCCCAATGCTGGCAAGTCCACCCTGCTTAAGGCAGTGTCCTCAGCTGACCCCAAGATTGCAGATTACCCGTGTATGTTTCACCTCTTTCGAGTCAACTCTTCTGTATCTTCAATATCATGCCAAAATGTTTTTAAACCTCTCTTCAGTTTGATCCCACCTCTTGTAAGATGCATGTACAATGTATTTGTTTGTTTTCCTCATAACATGAGATTGTCGGTATCCACTTTTCTCCAGTCACGACCATGAGGCCCCAGATCGGCATCGTTCAATACAAGGATCTGAGAAGGGTGAGAGACCTCATCGTTATGGACTTTTGCCAGTCTGCTAAAATTATTTACAGGTATTAGATTATAATTGATGTTACATTTGTGGTTAAAATTCCCTCCTCAGGTTTCCCTTGCAGATCTGCCAGGTCTGATAGAGGGCGCCCATAACAATGTGGGGATGGGACATCACTTCCTCAGGCATGTGGAGAGGACCAAGCTGCTGCTGTTCATGGTGAGGACCATAGGGGGCGCTGCTGTGATGTACTGTTGAACGCATCTTGACATGTTCATGATGTTTTATTTTTGCGTTTTTGCAAATTCATGACACCACAAGTAGTTGTTTCCAGTATATCACTACAGTGTTACAAAATCATTTCAATCACAAACTTAGAACAATGCCTCATCCTTTTCCCTTCTACCCTCAAATCCGATGAAAATAAATGAAAGTACATTGTACTACTTGTCTGAGCTCAGTTCATCAAAATTCACATTTTACGAACTGTGGTAACCATCTGTGTTGTGTTTTTCCCTCCAGGTTGATGTCCATGGGTTTGTGTTGTCCATGAAGCACCCTCACCGGACGGCCTTCCAAACTGTGGCCCTGCTCATGAAGGTGGGTAAAAAGTTTCCAAAGCCTTTTTGATGTAGGGGCAGTGAGCTGTTAATATATTGTGTCTAGGGCAAGGTATTTTAAAGGTGTAACTCAACCCTCCCCTTCCATGGCCTTTTAAAAATGTGCCTCAGCAATCACTCCCTGAATCAGCCAGTGTGAATTGTTTTCATTCATCCCAATTTTTTCACCTAACATCAATTCTTTGCCACTCAATTAGCAGAAAGTAGTGTCTCAGAGGGTTATGGGTAATGGGCAATGTGTTATCTGTAATAAGAGTACAAAGAAGATCTCAAGGATTGTTTTATCTCTTTACTAACAGGAGTTGGAATTGTACAAGAGCGACCTTGTGGACAAGCCTGCTGTGTTGGCCATTAACAAAATGGACATGACAGGTGCAGGGGACAGGGCAGAAGAACTGCTGTATAAACTTGAACACTTTGAAGGTCTGTTGTGTTTCCTTATAAGATTTATACAATTTATTCCATGGGTTCAAATTCCCAGACATTTTAGAGTAAGAATTAGCAACAGTTGAAGACAGAAACTAAAGGGCCCGTAGGACAAGTTCTACTGACCAAATTTTTATCAAAAATTTGTTGTATTTATTGTATTTTATTAGTGAATGACTGTTTTGTGCACATTTTACTACTTGGGACAAACATGTAGTACACTAACCTCCCCCTCCTTTTCCAGATTCAGTGACTGAGCTCCCCAAAGACATGAGGCCAAGAAGACAAGTGCAATTTGAAGACATCTTCCAGATCTCTGCCAAAGAAAAACAAGGACTGAACAAACTGAAAGACAAAGTCAGAGAAATACTGGATGAGAGGTTTGATGAAGAACAGAATGAACTGAAACAGCAGGCGATGCAGAGACTACAGAAGGAGGCATCCTATGGAAAAACAACAGACAGGACAGCTGATGTCATCTGAATCATGGACAAACAGTTCAATCAGACTCACTACAAGATTCATTGTCAGCCATGTTCTCTGTTTTGTAAGTGTGGCCACAACAGTACATGTAACATGTGCAGTCACTGCATAAACTATTTGATTCAAAATCACTTTGTCTTGAGATATCGTATACGTGTATGGAAAAATAAGACAAACTATGAGCAGCGTAACAGTCTAATACCATTTATATGTAAATAAAAGCATATTGGTCCCTTACCATAATGCCTTTGCCCAAGTTTTGTATATCGAAGCAAGGCGGTTGAAGAGCAACATCCTTGGTAGAGGGTAGAAGTGGTCACAGCAGTCTAGATTTTATAACTTGGTAGGACCAAGGATGCACATACTAGTAATTCAGGATGTTGAAGTGACATTATGTTTAACATATACTATTTTTTTTCTTTTTTGTTTGTATACTATTTGTGGTTTACATGCAAATGAAGGGGTTTCTGTCATTGAAATATTAGCACCCCTCTCTCCCTTTTCTCACATGTATCCTTCCAACAAGCCTTTTCCCATTCAATCACATTTAATATGTACACTGACTCATAAACGAAATTGAGCGTTTTGGAAACGTTTTCAGACGCCTTTCACGAACATGAAAGGCATAAAGGGCAACCACACTTTTTTCTGCAAATCTGGTCATCAGTAGGTCAAAGGTCAACGACCCCGATCAGCTGATTTGACGTCACGCCCCAACTGAATGACTTTCGGCGTCTGCTAGGGATCGTCCCCATTTCCGCTCCCAGACCGCGAAGGACGGACGTACACCGGCCGGCACAGATATATACTGATATATACCGGTAACTACCATTTTACAGGTATGTGGAGAAGTATATTGGTAAGATATACTGGTTGTAACATACGGTTGAGGTTGGAGTCTGAAATGCCAATTTAAAGGCCGTTTTTGATGAGATTGACAGTTGTATTTTTCCGATCCTGTGTACCGCCCCAGGCGCCGCCCATTCAAGCCTGGTTGGCGTAAAATTTGTCTGAACTCGTATAAACTGCCTCGTCACCATAGCTGACATGATGATATGAATCTTGTTTTTTTCCTGTATAATACCGATCCGACTGGCCAGATATAACGTTATAAGTTAGTGATCTTAGATATCGAAAAATACGGTAATACAAAATAAACAGAAGCCCCCATTTTGACTTTTTAACTTGCTTTCCCCGCACTTCGCTACAAAGAATTCACACAAAGGACGCAGATGTATGAAATGATATGTAAATTGCTCGAATCGCTTGTGACGTAGAGGTGTAATATTTATGACACGCCTACTGAGTACGATTGTTTATTCGTGCTGATACTAAATGAATATTTCACAGGTCATTTCTGTATCTGTCCGGCATCCATTCGTCATAAAAAAAATCTCTGCTCTCGATGTTGCCACGTATTAATTTACATTTACGTATTTTCGTAGCGAAAATTCACTTCACCTAATTTCAATGTTGTAACCAAGGAGGTTTAAACCTACTTGGCACAACGTTATGTTTCCACCAGAGTCTGTGTGTTTCTACGGTAATTATCTTACGGTAAATTACTGCACCAGATTTGAATGTGTAAATTAGCGTTTCCAAGGGAATTATCTGCGGTAAAGCTTTGCTGTAAAAACAACAGACGCTGTTTCATACTCCATTGCATACGCAAACGACATCTAATTGACTTTGCAAACCTGAAAAGAAAACGAAGTTCACGCAAAGCGATTTTCCTAGAAAAAAGGAAGCCTCTGAGACAATAGCTTATAGGCCATTTTGCAAGTCACCTATTGAAACGTCAACATCACATGACCCCGCCCATATCACTCCCCCTACACGCCTCCCGTCACCTAGGTAACGCCGTGACGTTGCGCATTGTGACGTCTGTTCTAATATTGCGTAATGTGATTTTAAAAGTCAAACATTACCTGAGGCTGTGTTTGTTTTGGCAGAGTAGGCTTGGTTTGAGTTCGGTGGGATTTTGTTCTTGGCTTTAAACGCCATTGCGTTGCTGGAGCAGAATGTTTCCCTTCGAAATTTGCTCTTTAGAATTGTAGAATGAAAAGATATGGTATTTTTCCCTATCACTGCAATTCCTTATGATAATTGTATAATCATAACTGTGTTGTTCACAAAATGTAGTCAGTAGTAGTAGTAATAGTACATGGCATACTCTACTTAAAGTTTAAAGTGCTTTTTTGTGTTATTTTGATATCGTTTTTATCGATACAATGTATCTTAATCATATATATAAACATGTGTATAGGCCACAAGATAGTTTTTCTTATTTATTTTTCATCTTTCAAAATAATGTAAGGTTACTTATACATGTACTTGTGCATGTAACTGTTAGTTACATGTATGTGTTTGACATTATTCCATCACTGTCTGACACAAAAATGTCAGTCTTTGACTTTGTATTCATAATGTCATGTTCCCTTTTTCACTGCAGCTGACTTTTAAAACAGTAGCATCATGGGTAAGATCAATGTCGGACCAGTTGTGGAGGTCAAAGGTGACGAGATGACCCGGGTCATCTGGGAACTGATCAAGGAGAAGCTGATCTTCCCGTTCCTGGATGTGGAGCTGCACACCTTCGACCTGTCCATCGAGGAACGGGATCGTACAGACGACCAGATCACCATAGACTGCGCCAACGCCATCAAGAAGTACAGCGTGGGGGTGAAGTGTGCCACCATCACTCCAGATGAAAAAAGAGTCAGTAGAATTATTATAGTCTATGTTTTCTTAGGTGGTTTTGAAGGAAAGTAGCCCGAGTGTCAGCCTTGTTAGCTTTCATCCGCTCCCCAAGATCCGGTCCCCGCCAACAGCCAAGGCTGACAATCAGGCTAGAAGGAAAGAGGTTTGACGGAACATTACAAAGCTTTACAGGCAAAAGGGCATACAAAGATTGAGTGGAGTACTTCCACTTTTGCCAGTGTGATGGTTCAAGAGGTCTTTTCAATTCACTGATTGAAGTTCTGCTGTTCTAGCCACTTTAGTGATTTAAATTGCTGCTAAAAGTGTTTTGAAAGTCTCTCCATGCTGTCAAAAATGCGATTCAGAAGGAAAGCCTTTTAAACTACAAAAGAGCAAAAGGCGCTTAACATTTCTTTCCACCTCGTTGACTTGGATGTGTTTATGTTCTAACTTGCATCGGTGGGATCTGAAGTAAGAAAGTAAACCGGTGTGGACTTATCCTAATCTTTTCTTCCTTCAATCCATCCCTCTCTCCAGGTAGAGGAGTTCAACCTGAAGAAGATGTGGAAATCGCCCAATGGCACGATCCGTAACATCCTGGGCGGAACAGTGTTCCGTGAGGCCATCATCTGTAAGAACATTCCCCGATTGGTCACTGGCTGGACAAAACCCATTGTGATTGGACGTCACGCTTTTGGAGATCAGGTAAGAACATAACATGGGAAGCTAAGAAGTACCTCATCTTATGATGGTTTCTGCGTGTGCTAATTAAAGATTTTCTGCTATTTGCCTGTGATTTCTTATTTTGTCCCTTCTTCTTCTTTTTTCCAGTACAAGGCCACAGACTTTGTGGTACCAGGAGCAGGGAAACTGGAGATCACCTTCACATCTGAGAACGGAGGAGAGGCACAGAAGTACACAGTTTTCGACTTCAAAGGTGAACTAATGCACCTTGTCTTACAGATTTGTGTTTCCCCTGAGTGCTCAATGTCCACAACAATTGTGTAGCACAGTGGTGTGATGAATTCACTGTGGAGAGGTCACCACAAAAATAAAACAACCATGATCAAGTTTAAAACATGTTTGAAGAAAACAACAACAACAACAAAAAACATGATCATTTCAATAGTCTGTGTAATGCAAACCCTGTCATCTGCGTCTTTTTTGGGGGGCAGCTGGATGTTTGGCAGGCAGCAACCATAAAATGATTTAATCAGGCTGTCATTTAAAGTGCCGGAACACTCACAGTAATCGAGCGATTCCATTTTTCCTCAGACGGGGGAGGGGTGGCTCTGGGCATGTACAACACGGACGCCTCCATCAGGGACTTCGCCCACAGCTGCATGACCTTTGCCCTACAGAAGAGCTGGCCGCTCTACATGTCCACCAAGAACACCATCCTGAAGAAGTACGACGGAAGGTTCAAGGACATCTTCCAGGAGATCTACGACCAGGTCAGGGTTACTGTGACAGCAGTAGAATAGAAATAACTCTTGGAGAATATGTTGATGAAGGTTAGATGGCTGGATGCCTGAGACTGTTCTCAGGGCCAGTACACAGGCAAGCCCCCAGTAAGACCCTGGGTGGCATGTTGGCTCTTAAGCACTGTATATTTAGCCTGGGTACCACCCTGGTTATGTTCGCTCCCACAGTCGCTACATTGGTATTTGGTAGTGACTGTGGGAGCAGACATACACTAACCAGGATATACCCAGGATAGTGTATACTGACCCTAGTGACAATCTTGCACCCAGACTACCTTGTAGCCTAGCCTGGGGTTCAGACGGTCATGGCTCCCTGCTATCTCTTAGTCACTAACAGTGTGCTCTCCCGCCCAGCCTCCTGCTCAGTGTATGCCACGGATTTCAATGAGCTTGCCATCATGATCTAACAACACTGCACATATTATACTAGGAAATGAAACTGAAGGTACGCATTGTTCTCTCCATTCTTCAGAAGTACAAGGCGAAGTTTGAGGAGGCAGGAATCTGGTACGAACACCGGCTGATAGACGACATGGTGGCGTACGCCATGAAGTCTGAGGGCGGGTTTGTCTGGGCCTGTAAGAACTACGACGGTGACGTGCAGTCTGACTCTGTAGCACAAGGTAAGATTTCACTGTACCTTAAAAGTTAACTTTTCAGAACAGTAAGGAATAGTGTAAAATGTGTTTTTCTTTTTATAGTTTGATCAAGGACATTCTGAAAGACTATTCTTTAAGGACTTGGCCATTAGTACAGGGCTAAGTAAAAGAGCTTTTCAATTTCGAAACCGTGTTTGTCCGCCAGGTTATGGTTCCCTGGGGATGATGACCAGCGTACTGATATGTCCTGATGGAAAGACAGTAGAGTCTGAAGCTGCTCACGGCACCGTAACACGACACTACAGGATGCACCAACAGGGCAAGGAAACATCCACCAACCCCATCGGTAAAGGCTCTGAATCAAAGTTTAAAGCACCTAATCTACAATATTTTTTTGTAATGCTGCCCTGAAATTGCATTAGATGCCAATAAGATACTGATGTAGCTTGAATAGCTTGTAAAATGTACAATGGAAAGGAGTTTTTCAGTTTCCCATACCACAGCTCACATTTACACACTGCCTGGCACTTAATGTTAAACTCGTGTCTCCCCAGCCTCCATTTTTGCGTGGACCCGAGGCCTTCTCCACCGCGCCAAGCTGGACGGGAATGAGGAGCTGAGAACGTTTGCCACCCGCCTGGAGGAGACGTGTATCGAGACCATCGAGGGAGGGAAGATGACCAAAGACTTGGCCATCTGTATCAAGGGTCTACCCAAGTGAGTAGCACAATTGTTGTAAGTTGTTGAAAGGGGTGTCTATATATAATAAACAAAAGCTTTCAGCCTCCCTTGCACTATGACATGTATCATTTATGTTCGCTTATTTACGTATTTCTTATTATTTTTAAGTCTGATTAAGTAAACAAAAGTGCAGTGAGTATATGTGTAAGCCTTTATTTAAACTTTTGTTCCTCTCTCTCCCCAGTGTGACACGTGAGGACTATCTCAACACCTTTGAGTTCCTGGATGCTCTGGCTGAGAATCTACAAAAGAAGCTCTCTGCCAAATGACTTGGGGGAAGAACCGCTAAACTTTGATCACAAAATACACTCAAACTCTGTTTAAGGACCACCTGGCCATTGATATACAGTCAAATCTGTACTAGTTCACCTATGTATAAGGACCACCTGGCTATTGATACATGTGTACAGTCAAACCACCTTCGAGTCTGCAAATTAATACTCGGCCACTTTTTGTGGTCCTTTACAGTATTTTCCCCATTGATCCTGATTATACTGACCATTTTCTTCATTCCAGATTACTACCGACAGGTTTCAAAATGCAAACGGTTGGGTCTGACTGTACAAGAGCTTGACTATATCTTGGTCAGAATTATTTTAAACATAAGACAGAAATTCTATTTTTCACATTTCATAGAGTCCTTTGGGGATGTCTGAAACTCTACTACTGTTTTGTTTTTCACGGTGGTGAAACTTTTTTACTATTTAAACATCTTACTGCAGTCCAGGATGGTTGTTCTACCTCATGTTTAGGACTTGTTCAAAAGGGTCACAGCATCTATGGAAGTAAAGCACACTTGGAAATTTATGTATTTCTGGAAATGCCATGACACTTAAGATATGAGGGGTTAAAATCATGGTCATGATAAATCCTTAAATACAATAGAAACATTTATGCAACATGTTGATACTGTAAAGTTCTAGGTCAGACAGCAAATCATGTGCGACTATGAAGATTTAAAACAGGTGAAGCATGATGATACTATACTTAAGTGTTACTTAAGGAAACACCAGTTCCTCTAGTTGGTTCTCAGACAAGTCAAGGTAAAAATATAGCAAGTAGAAAGCAAAAGGTCATAGTCTTGGAGCAAAATGTGCCAAGTTAGGGTGTTACACATACAATGTAAGAAATTAACTGTAACAAATCCACATTGGACACTCTATCTTTTCTATGGTATCTATATTTTGAAGTTACATGAAGGTGAATATCTAAGCAGGCTACATGTGTAGTTAAGTATTATAAGAACCAACTTGAATCTATATAGATTCTGAGAAGTACAACTCTAGTTTTTAGACTTTACATTAAGAATCTTTTTGCTGCTTTGTTGTTCTTGAGTACATGTAGCTTGTTTACTGAACCACTGACAATTATAAACAGCTGAGGTGTTTAAAGTAAATAGTATAATTGCAATCATTATCTCTATATACTTGAATCTAACATATCGTTAACTGGAGTCTTCCCACATGTGCAGTGTACCAAGAGTGTAATATAGTTGTCTTTTCAAAAAGTGCAATCATGTACTAGTAATTTATTCAATCACAAGTTACAATGTATTTAACAGTCACCTTAAGCAAAAGCTCGTGATCAGTATTAAAGAGTGGATATGATAGCCCAGTCAATTGTTGGAATACTTATAAATTCTTGCCATGTAACATTGTTTCTAGTACTTTAAATAGTTTCACATGTAGTTGACAATTTGGATATCTTTGGTTTACATAGTTTATACATGTCACCTTTTCCTTGGAGATTTGTGAGGTTTGTATGCTTCTTGTCATAAACAAGCCTTAGGTATACAAGTAGCAAATATTTCTAGCAAATTCTGATACCCAGAAAGCAATACAAATATCATAATTGTTTTTGCAATGTTTATTGGCAATAATTTAAAAAGTTCAGAGATGCAGGTTCACCTAAAGCAAACTTAGGTGTATTCTTTAATGTAAGTACTATGTATCAGGTATTCTTGTGAACTGAATTGTACATGTTGAAGTTGGCATTGTCACTAATTAGCAAAGTGCTAATTATAATGAAGCAACGTAAATTATTGACTGTACAGGTTCAACTGCAGTGAATAAATGAATTTTTGCAGCAATCTGTTTGTTTGCTTTGGTACTTTTGCTGAACAGAGGTAGAATCTAAATAACATCTTATCATACATTCATAAAACTATGTCTATGACCATACATATAGAATAAGCTAGAGGAAAAGTAAGAACTATCGGTTGTAAAATGTGCAAAGGTTTTTGAACTTCTCAAAAGATAAAAAATTGCTCCAACACAAAGCTACCTACCAAAGTGTAAAAACACCATTATCAATACTAAAAAAACACCATCCTAACATATGATTAAGTCCAAAAAAAATGACATTTTATCAGATTAAGAAAATGGAGATGCAATGTTGTACATTTATCTTTTTACATGTATGAAAACATTTGGCCTAGAGTACCAACAGCGGTGAAAGATTAAGTGCTGATAACAAACATCACAACAACAGTGCAACATTTTGAAACAACTCAGGTCACAAATACGGCAGGTTGGAAATCACCAGGAAACTCCACGTAGCATTGGTATGTCTTGATGACAGAGAACAAGCAGGGGCATATCCTCATCATTTGTTGATTTTTTTCTGTGGAGCAATGAAAAATAGTTTTTAAACATGCATCTATTACAGTGATAACAGAAGAAGACCTTAAGTAGAATTTGAGCACTGGTAGAATTTGAGCCCTGCAAGGCATTAGGGAATTCGAAGGTAAAGACCATGTAAAATACTCACCCCTGTCTTATGCTTGTGGTACTGAGGTGACCAGTCTCCAAACTTCATAGTCATGGGGTCTCCCCGCCTCAGCTTACTGAAATGTTAGAAAAGTTCATCGCAGTTAGTTTGGCAGCATCATGTGCAAAGAAGCTAAAAATTATGATGAATTTTGTTGCTCACACACATATACTAATAATAACATGAATACACAGACACACAGAAACAAATGCATGCTATAAAAGATCCAACTATTTATGAAGCAAATAACTTACTAGTACTGTACCAGGTATTTCATCTACTTACGAGTTGAGAGTGGGCTCTTTGTAGCTGACTTGTTGTCGAGACCTCCGCACTCTCTTCGGCCCTCCAGCTGACTCATCTTCACCATTTTCGTTCTGCTTGCTGTGACTCTGCTGTACATCCTGATCATGAGCATCCTCACAACTTCCTACGGAGGAAAATGGTCTCTTTTTCTGATTCTTGGGGTTCATCTGAGGAGTGACCTTGGTTTTGGTGCCCGTTGTGTCACTGCGGTGTCCCTGTGGAGTGTTGCCCACATCTTGGAAAGCCCGTCTCTTGGATAAAGCCTGTTCCACATTCGGAGTTGTCGTATCATTGTCCGACGAATCTTGGAACACCTTCCCCTTTCTGCCTGACAGAGGGCCCTTCTCGGCACTTCGAAGTAACCTCTGGGGTGTCTGTCGCAGGGGCATTTGAGTGCCTGTATTCTCCTCCTCTTCAGAGATGGAATAGTTGCTACTATTCCTTTTGGTAGGCTTGGACTTCCTATTTTGCCAGCAATCATCCTCTGATTCTGAGTCACTTGAAAAATACTTCACAGCAGCTGTCGTCCTTCTTCTAGGTCTAGCTATCTGTCCTTCATCACTTTGCCTTGGGCTTTCTGGGATTGAAGCAACATCTCTATGTTTCTTTGATGTCTTCCCTCTTCTTGTGTTATTTTCTTCTTCGTTGTCTTCCTCATCAGAGGACTCACACACAATGACATTTTGCCTTTTCTTATTTGAAGTTTTGTTGCCCTGTTTTTGTTTAAGCTTTGCAAGCTTTTTGGGCCTTCCTCGTTGTGAGTGTGACTGCTGATGGTCATCATCTTCTGATGCGTGCTCCCGGGACATGACAGGTTTGAGTGTGAGTGGGGATGGATCACTGAACATGTCACCAGAGGAGAGATCAAACACAGACAAACTCTCCTGCACTGTTTTCTCCTGGCTTTTAGATGGTGTTGTGTCATCAGCATCCTTTGCAGAAGTCTTACTCTTAGTGCTTGTGCTCTGTACCACCAACCCCTTCCTTTGTCATCTTAGCAGAAACTCTAACATTTCTATCTGCCACACTTTTTTGCTTCTTTTCCTCACAGCTACCTCTGGGCTAGATTCTTTCGCAGATGATTCAGGGCCGGTGATCATGTCCCCATGAAATTCCGTCTCGCTGTCAGTTGAGACAATTCTCCGAGTCGCCCTTCTGCCTCTCTTGTTCACAAAATCGTCATCATCTGAGTTGTCAGCAAGGTGAGGGACTTGGCTGGGCAGACTGTCTTCTGGGATGATCTGTTGTTCCTGCTGAAGGGCCCACGTTGGTTTGGGGACGGTTGTATCGTCCGCATCAAACTCCTCTACCTCAGCCTCACTTTCCTGAGAAGGTTCTACATTTTCGGAGGGACTCTCTACTACCTCCTGCGATGGGACTTCCTGAATCTTCCTTGCTTCCTTCACAATGTCGTGTCCATCCTTTTCAACTTCCTCCCTTCTTTCTGCAGTGGATTTTGCTGACTTGCTGAACGTTGGCAGCTTACTGGCTTTCTTTTTCTTCAGTCTTCTTACAGGTTTGCAGCCAGACTGGTTCAAATCCTTTTGGCTTGTTTTTCCTTTCTTTGATGCTGCACTTCTTTCTGCATCCTTGTCAACACCTGGCCTTTTGGCATTTGGCGCTTTAGAGGCATCTTCTGTGGCCTGTATAAACGACAACATGTACAACATACATTGTTACCAGTACACTGAAACTGACAGAACTCTCAAGTTCTGTTTGCAAGTTATCTATCCTCTGGACTAGAGAGCTATACCATGCCTACAGAACTGTGAATAGTTTCATCAGGTTGGTAGTAACTGAAAAAAAGAGACTCTTTTTACAAAACCAAGAGGTTAATATTAATAGAGTTACAATAATATTCGCCATTGACTATTGGTCTGTTTGAAATTTTTAATCGTATGTACCTGTTCAGTCTCCTCAGTACTGATGACAGTAGCAGGCACTGTGGTCAGGTCCATGTCCTCCTCACTATAGATTGTTGCCTCAGCTTCTGCTGGCAGCTCGCTTCTTGTGCTAGACTAATGCAGTGAATATTTACATGTAGTACATATGTTCAGTGCATTTTCAAGACCTCTTATTGTGAAGTTTAAAGACCCTGTCACACATTCAGAACCTTCCCAGAACCAAAACTTGGTGGCAAAAGATATTGTTATAATTCATCTTCAAAAGTACCAGTCAAAAGAAAAAAATCAACTCGACTGAAGTCAGTTCCAATCTTTATCAAGATTTGAGGCAATTACCTCATTGGAAGGACAGCTTCCATGTCCAGCTGCATCCTGGGATTTCCATTTGTGCTCTGCCACCAGGTCCATCAGACTCAAGCGTTTCTCAGGTCCTTCTGGGAGGACTACAAATTAAGGGGACAAGTTAAGAAAACTTGGAATAAGAGTCATAGGAAAAATGTGATTCAGAAATTCTAAAATTCCTACTAAAAATTTTCAAATTCACTTGATTACTTCAAGAGTGAATTAGTATCCCAAAGCTTACATGTACACAACTGTAGAATCTTGAGAAAGTGAAGGATAATTTCCAAGATACTAGTATTCCAAAAAATATTGGTGGACAGGTTTGGGTATTTTGTTATGGAAGGGTTGACACATCTCAAATGCAACTAGTAGTTGGGTTTGAGGAAATTTCATTTGATGCATGAAAATATGTTAGTACATGTTTGCATATTTTACTTGTATTAATATTTATGCTGCATGCTGTTAAAATTTCAATGCAAGCATCACATTGTTATCCTTTATCCATCATATTACAAAAAAGTTAACTTTTGTGAATATATATAATATTTTGTGTAAATTTTTGAAACAAAAGTTTGAATACCTTCCAAAGTTGTAGGGACTGTATATGTACCCCTTCTTGAATCACAGGGTAAGGTATGCACAACAGTGGAAACAGGTACAGGAGTAGGAACACTGTATGTTCCACGTCTGTTTTGCCCTGAGGTACTTTTGCTGGGTATGTTAACTGGGGGAGGCATATTCAATGTGCTACGCCTCCTATCTTCTGTTACTGGTACTGCATATGGTCTGGAGGTATTTGGGGCTTGTGTGTAAGTTCTTCTCTTGTCATCCTTCTTATGTTCTATAAATGTACACAGAAATTGTGAAGCAACTTAGAATTGGCACTTGGATTCTGTGTACAAAATCAAGAAGTGCTTAATAAATGTGTTCATGAAAATGTGACAGGTTAGGGAAGTATGAAAGGTGATTTCAAAATTTGAATGTTCCAATCTGTGCTTGAAGCATGCAGCATGCAACTTTTGAAGATTATTTAAAGCCTTGATGGGGACATGTGATTGCAAGCAATTGTCTCGTGCTAGAAAATTAAGTTAGATTTTACACTGTATTCATTATCACATCAGAAAAGACATGTACTTGTAGTTAGAATCAGTAACCAGTGGGTATAATATCTTAAGATTTAAAAATGAATGTTAAGTCGTTTGGATGAACAGACCTTGTTCTGTTGTATCCAGACTAGAAGACTCCTGTGGTTTATCAGAGGTGTCTGTGTGATGAGCAGTAACACTGACACTCTCCCTGCTCTCATCAGTAAACAGGATCGAAGCAGTCTGCAAAGCAGCGATGCTGTCTCTCGGACCAGCCTGGGCTACTGAGGACTCCTGGGGTTCCTGCGGAGGAGGGGGTGGGGGGACTGACACTGAACGCCTCGCTGCTCTACTTCCAGGGGGTGCCAGGCTCTGTCTCTGGCTGGCTGGGAGGGGAACACGAGTGGGCGCTCCTCTGGAACAACATGACACAAGTATATAGACTGGTTTATTTCGAAAGGAACATACATACAACATACATATAAGTTGCTAATTGCAGCCCGCAGGCTGAATTGGGCAGCTTTTACAATGGGATACACAGGTAGAATATATTTAACATGTACGTAACTTAAGCATAAGCATCAAATATTGCACTAGATTATTGCACTTTTTATTGCACTAGATTATTGCACTTTTATGTTAAAATTACGGCGTTACAAGATCGGTTACAAATTACATGATATAGCTAAAAACGATTACAACAAACATAGGATAAAACACTATTACAACATATACAGCTATTATAAAAAAATAATCTACTATAAGTCCAAGGTGTTAGTACTGTCACTTACACCGTTTGTCTGTATGCATGCATGTATGTATGTAATAAAAATATATGTTTTACATGTACTAGGTTAGGTAACATGTGGTTATGTACCAGTAATTACAAGTTTCTATGTTTTAATAACTGCAGTACAGATTCAACTTATACACTGTAGATCATTTGTAATCAAACAAAGGATGTAGTAATCACACAAGGTATGATTACTGTTACACATTCGCAGTCTCAAATGGTACGTACAGAACACTGGGTCTTGAACGTGGCGGCAGGGCTCCATCGGAGTTGTCGGAGACGGACACATGAGCGGAGAGGGAGGACATTCTCCAGCCGCTGTCCCGTAGCGCGGGGTGACACACCTCCATGGCTGACCCGATGTGCTCCACCGTCCCCAGCAGGCTGCTGCTCACCTTCTGTAGCACACTCTGGACATCCGACATTTTCTTCTGCAGAAGCAAAGCAAATTAAAAAGGCCTTAGCAAATGATTATGAATACACATTACAGCTATGCATTTATACATGCTCATTGCTGCTTATTGAAAACTCACACAACTGGGAAGTGAGGGGACTGCAGAATACATTTGAAAAAGCCTGGTATTCATAGAGAATCCAAACCTCAGTCCTCAGATCAGTTGTATTGTTTGTAGCATCACGGAAGGTCCACCTACCTTGTACTCCTGTTCATTGTCCTTTTTACACCTGAGTGCAGCCTGGAGTTCCCGTACCCTCCCCTGTAAGTTGACGACTCGTTCAGCCATGGCCATGTTCTCCTGCTGTAAGCTCAAGTTCCGCTTCTGAAGTCAAGATTCACACAGAGAATATTAAACATGACACAAAGTGATGGTCAAATCCAGAAGAAACTTTTCAGAACTTCTCAAGAAGATCTGACATGCTATCACTCAGTATGAAGTCTATATATACAGTATCAAGTATCAACATATATATTTTAGTGCAGAAAGTATTTCAATCCCTGATACATGTATTAAACAAAATCTCCAAAACACTAGCATCAGAAAAGTACTAGTACTTTACCACAGGTTTCAAATACCAAATACCAAATACAATGGACAGTCACATTGATAATGATATGAAGTTTCCATATACAGCGTATAGAACCCACAGTAAGTTTCATGAAGCAAACCAGTACGGATGAAGCTGGCAGTCCCTACCGAAAGTTTGCCGACACTCTGTCTGGCAGCTGCCAGAGTGCTAGCCAGCTCCCTGTTGTTGACTTTCAAGGAGGATAGTTTCTTTCTGACAAAGGATGAATTTCCTGAAACAAAAGAAAACACATGAATTATCAATATTATAAAAAGTTGTAAGATATAGGACAGTGACTCTTTGTGAAAAGACTACACCAAAATACCTGCACATTTCCAATGTTACCTGCACTAACCTGCATATATGCACTGCAGGTGGTATTTCAAGCCCTGCAACTTTAATGTAGGGTTGGCTACAGAATGTAGAAACTACAGCATATCTTTTATATCTTTCCAAGAGTTCTTATTTCTTACCACTGTAAACCCGGGACCTGGGATCTGAGATTTCCAACTTCTTCTCTTTGATTTTCTTCTTCATTTTGTTTTTCAGCTCGGTCATCTTGTTGTTGCTGGACTTGTTGAGCTTTCCACGAGTGACCACGTTCTCTCTCTGGTCTTGCTCCATTTCATCTGAAGCTTTGCCGTCATCAGTTTCCATGATGGTTGATGCTAACCTTCTACTAGTTGCCTTGCCTTTCTCAGGTGTATTCTGAATTAATAAAAATATACATGAATAGTTCATTATTAATCTTACGCTAGACATGGTCTAAATGTGCTTGTTTTTTTCATGATGCTTCTGGAGCGTTGTTATCCCTCTGATAACGGTTTTGAAATGCGATGTTTTTCTTTTGGGGGGGGGGATTTAAATTCAAATTTGCGTAAGTACGGGTACCCCCGGGTTTCCCTTAGCGATAAAAAGTGCAACAATAAGAAAATCCTTCAGACAGTCAGTTCCAGCATTGCCTATTTTACAATACATCACATTAAACTGCAAAAGATACGAAAAAATTTCTTTCTTTCCCACCTTTTTGCTGAAAATTCCCGAATCTTTCCTGCCAACCGACGCCATCTTGGAATCAAACTGCCCGGTCTTCGCTCTGATTGGTCAAATCTGATGTACCTCGCATTACGTCATTCATTGACCGTTGAACGTTGTGAATGGGGGACTTGAGTTGATTTTACAACGTCAAAAATAACTAAATATCTTTGCATTATTTCCATATACAAAACTATCTAATCGATACAATATACTACTAAACACAGTACTGTCCTATACAAATATTTAGTCGAGATACAATACTTTCTTTAAGATTAATATGAAACGTACACCCTAATCATTCAAAATGGTTCCGTCCATCAGCTGGAGTAACATGTGCATACAAAACGTTGGTTGCGGGGTTACTGTACATTGAGTGATCGCCCTCTCTCAAGAGCGCCGTGGAACTCGACGCCAGGTTGTTTTTCTTTCACCACTTACTTTACATTGCAGATCAAAGCGTCTACCACCTTGAGGGAAACTTTTCCACATTTCTTCGTTTCAGCGAACGGCCCTTGGAGAAATGTTGTAAGACAAGGAATTCTTGAGCATCTGGGAGGTAAGCTAAAGGTGTCTTGGGACAGGTGTGGCGTCTTAACTATCCACGCATCGATAACTTTCAATGTTGAGAATTCTGTTGCTTCGTGACCCGGCTACGGGACGGCTGCAGGCAATGCCCCGAGAGTGTTTTACATGCAAACAAACACGACTTCTTCAAAGAGCTTCAGATTAACATATTTTCTGGACTTAAAAGACCTAGTAACAGACTCCGCCCCCTTTTTTTAGGTGTGCTGCAACACTCTTAAGGACTCTTAAGGAAGAAGTCTCCAAGAAAAGATGGCAATGGATGTAGACGCCTTAGAAATTGCAAAATCAGTGGAGAAGCGATTGTAAGTACATAAATTTGTTTCTTTTGCTCCTAGTACTAGTAGTACATGTATGTGTGCAGTTTCCCTGGGGGAATAAATTTGCTGCCTAGCAAGTTAACTCTTAAGCCTTTGTTAGCTTAGGTTGAATTTATAGGCTCTTTGGAAGGCTGTTATGTGAAGGAAATTAGTTTATTGCCTGTTGTATTTGTCTACATATGGCAAATTAAAGCTCCGTTTGTGTCCCAATACACCAGGTATTAAACCACATTGGTTTATTTGTCCTATCATGGCTAATATGTATTGTTTAATCACCATGATGGCATTTTATATCAACAAGCGTTGCTTGGATATTATCTTCCCTCTGGTGGCAATACGCAGCTATGGACTTTGGATTAATGAACTTAAGTTCACTCCAATACCCTTCACAGTTTGCTCAAGTATGGTGTTCAAAGACAACATGCCAGTCTGTGGGACTTGGTATTGTACAACTTGTGCCCCTGTATTGACATTGAATGATGACTAATACCGGTATCGAGCCCAAAAATACATTAATTTGTTTTTCATGTTGGTAATGCCCTGATGCAAAGTTTGCCAAACATTTGCATTTGGATGGTCTTGTGTGTTTCTTCAGTGAACTCACAGCACATGCCTGTTTAGTGAGAAAATCAGAAGCTTCCAAAACTATTATCAAGAATAATTTAGTAAGCTATGATGGTCAGGTTTATGGCAATGCTTAATTGTGGTAGGCTCAAGTTGGCATGACTACTATTTCATTTTTTTTTTTTTTTGGTGTCAAAGAAAGACTCGGTTAACTTTTAGCTACATTTGACAGGTTGGTAAGTTGTTTAACAGTGAAGTTATGTTTACAAAGCTACAGCCTTTTCTCAGCAAAGTTTTGGCAACTTTAATGGTTGCCGTCATCAGGATGTAATACGAACCCCGCTACTGCAGGCCCAAACGTGACCTCTGCTATACATAATATGAGTTCAAGTGTTTTTGAGATGCTGTTTCACCAATCAATTGAATGTGTTGATCAGATTGCCACACCAGTGTCAAGGTTTTTGCACCACTTCCTGAAGAATTTACTGCCAGCTGCTTGGTTCACAAGGAGGAAGGAAGGTCTCCCGTGCTCTTGCCCGAGCATAGGGTGGTGCCCATCTCCATTTCGTAGCCCTTGGGCGACACACAACTGTGCAATGCACTACAGCAGGGGGCTAGTCCGCTGGTACAAGGAGGCCTACAAATTTTAACATTTTTATGCAATGTATGAGTGTTTTTATGTTTTAAATGCACCATGCATTCTTCCAGAGAAAAAAAACACCTATTTAATTAATTGTTTGTCAGGATTAGCAAGTAAAATGTCAACACTTAAACCAGTCATGTTTTTAGTGAAGGCTAAATGATCCGAATCTAGACATACATGCCTTTTCAGCTTACATACATGTATTATATTTTTTTCCTGAGGGGTGACTGTTTCTTTTGCTTGCTTTGTCACTAAAAGAATTGCAGGGGGGTCATACGACTAGAATTCAAAAAGACTTGATAATCCAGGTATTGTTGTAGCCTGGTGAATCTTTACGGCACTTAGAAACCTGCCCAACAAACCTGCCCAGGGCATGGGATGGCAGTAATTACATGTAATATAGAAAAGCCAGCTGGAAAGATGGATGCCAGATAGAGCAAATGCCCATGAGTGTGCCAACAAACTGGGGCTGAATCACTCCAAAACCCGGTCCTTACAGATCGAGAGAATGGTCACCAGACTAATATAGAAGCTAGCCAACAAATTTATCAAAGTCATAGCAGAGAAATTAGTTACAGAAAGTGTCATGGGCCAAGTTTGAACAACACTTACTCTGGGTAATACTATGGGAAACGTTAAATGTCAACAGGGAGACAACATACAGAAGGGAAGTGGCCTGCAAACACAGCCCATGTAACCATGTTACTGTAGTGTAGGTAAACTAAATTTAGCCAGCACAGCTACTGTCAACACACAAACGTTTGAGTCTTTTCAGTTCTACGATTGCTCAACAGCAAAGTAAAGATTGAAAGGCTTCAGTTTTTTCCTCATATGAATGTCAATGCTAATGTGGCAATATTAGCGACCATTCTTTTGCAAAGGTCAAGAGCTAGGGACAATCCAATGAATTTTTAGTGGTGAAAGGACTGATATAAATGTATAGAGCTTTTTGTAGTATTGACATTATTAAAGTTGTCTAGAGTATTTAGGTGTGTTGCTTTGGAACAGTTGACTTTCAGGATTATCAATAATATTATTCAAAGCCTAACAATTTAGTTATACCCAGCCCACTCCTACAGCATCACTGGTTGGTCCCCATTACAGGTGAATGAGCCATAAAACTTGACATTTACACAAGCCTCTGCAAGATTACTGACGTCTTCAGACTCTTTTGTTGTCAGAAGAACCATAAAGGAATTAGGACCAGTCCATTCAGAGGGTTCACAGGGGGTCAGGAGTATCGTTTCAAATTTTACTTTAGTGCTTGAATAGGTGGACCTAGGATGGATTTTTTAAAAGGTTTTTTAGCCTTCTCTCTCTCTCTCTCTCTCTATATATATATATATATATATATATATACATGTACGATAAGTCAGAATGTATAATGAAGAGGGATTCTTTGACTCTAGGAATTATGTATCCACTTTTTTGTTATTTATTTTCATACAGGGAGTATTACATGAACGTAAAAAGGTTGGAGGAAGGATTTGATCCGACTGGACAAGGCATATACCGAACATCACACCGCATGGTAGGCAACATTACGTTATTAGCATTACAACTATTATTATAAGGCCATTAGTTCTTAGATTTTTTTATCACAATTTTGAATCTTAAATATATAATTTGATGGGTTTTCTACAGTTGAGAGAATATTGACATGTCAGATGAGACTTTTGTTACTCATTTGGATTAAAAAAAATACATTTATCGAAACTTTGAATTGCCTGATGGGTGACTTTGACACATTTAAGATCTCCCATATCCCAGTACCTTAATGAGATTTACATGTAATACTAACAGCAGATGGCAATACTCTCTGTCACACTATTCAACAAATTTGAATGAAACTTAAATTTTTCTCACAGGCACCCTATGACTTGGGACACCTTCTAGTGTCTACCAGAAAACCAAGAAGATTCCGGGGAAAAATTACCCAAAAACTGAATCCTCAAGAAACACCAGACAGAGAAGCCAAAAACAGTGCCAAAGCTGGAACCAATGGCAGAGTCGTGAAAGAGAAATATGTTCCACAGGTATACACTTCACTTCACTGTCCGGTTTATCGTCTGTTGTTCCCCATCTTCCGAGCTAGGGTTAGACGTGCTTGCACAATACATCTGGGGCTTACATAACATACATAACATATGTAATACATAAGGGATAATACATATATATAACAGTTATGTAGTTTCATGGACCTGAAGCTTTGTCTGGTTGCTTTTAGTTCACAATCTCTCTTTCCTGTTGATTCAGATGATTTTGTGCAACTTCTTAGCAGTTGAAGAGTGGCCGTTGTGTAAAGATCATGTGTTTGAGAGAAATATTAGGGGATAATATAATGCTTCCTCCGCAATCCTTTGTAGATTAATGACAGAAACGTTACTTGTTTGTTTGTTTGTTTGTTTATTTAGATCTCCATTAGTATGGAAGTCAACTCCATACTATTCTTCCTGGAGTCCACGAAATACTTCCTGGAGTACACATTACTGAGAAATAAGTTAAAATGACAAATTCGTTACTGATTCCACAGGTGGCTAGAAGTGATAGCGGGTTTGAAAGCAGGAGTGGAACACCACATATTCCAAAACTGGACATTAACGGAAAGAAATCGCAGCTAACTTCCAAAGGAGCTTGTTCAGATCATCCCAGGTGAAAATTACCAGATATATTGCAAGTACTTAGGCCACACCAATTCATTCGTTGTTAAGTCTTTGAATTTCACAAAATTTGATGTTGCGCCTTGAAGCCTTGAGTATAGGTTTGGTACACTGAAAACTGACTTTGTAAAATTTAGGAAGATTGAATGTTTCTCAGTCCTCCTCTCCTCTACCCCCCCCCCTCCAGTTTGCCACTGACCCCCAGACAGACCTCCAGTGCCAGACATATGCATCGAGTTCCAGTCCTGGAGGCAGACAGGCTCGCCAAACATGCCACCAAACTCATCGTAAGTCCCACATGTACATTACTCCTGCATATGTTAGTGCAGGTAAAATTGGGGTGGTGCAGGTATTTCTGATGTCTACCCACATCTAACATGCACTGTTCCATGTACTAGAAACATTCAGGTTAGTGCAGGCAATATTTGAGCTGTATATTCCTGCACTGGTCTGAGTACTGGGTGTACATTAAGTGAACGTGTGTTGATTTTTATTTCCTGTACTATCTGCCACCACCTGTAAGATGCTACAAAACTGAAACTTATGTATTTCATGGTAGTTCACAGATGTCATTGGTTATCTTTCATAACATAACTAAAGTGCAGGATCTGACAAGGATACTGTATATGAAGAGGTGACTAATTTATAGACTGTCCTTTGATAGATTTCATCTATGTTGTCTGATCTCCAGGAGACCCTCCCACTGGACCAGCTGACAGCCATGCACTCCAGCCGCTTCCATCCAGTCCCACAGCCACACAGACCCAGGCACAAGGTGGGATATACTACTCTTATAAACTATGAACTTATAAACTGTTTGGCATGAATTTTGTCAAAAACCTTTTGCCGGAAGCCCCAGTAATATAGCATGGGTGCTATCCTTGTTTTCCTGTTGCAAATTCCCCACTGCTAACCTGGGTACTAGGTTAGGAAGGTGGTAGGATCACAAATTAGATAAAATACATCCATACATGATGTGACAGAAATGTCATCCTTTGAGCAAGGAGGTTGAACCTTTTAGTAGGTTAAACCTTAACCTCCTCACTTTAAATATGAACATAAATTGGTTCTTTCTTTGATATTGTTTGTGTTGATTATTTCAGGATGTTAGTCCCAGGGCCAGCAGTCTGTCCAGGAATGTGCATGCCTTGCTGCATGGGACGGCCACACGGGAATACATCAGCAAAACAGGTGAGGGCATGTACATGTAATACTGCATCTGTGTAGATCTACGCACAAACTAGGGGGAGGGGGGCAACTTTGCTTAAGCCTAGTTCATTAATGAGAATTGTGCTTAGAACAGGATTTCAGCACCAAGGACATGTCAAACACAATATCTGTACATCAGTACAAATTTGTATGTATGTGTTTCCAAAAAGACTGAGGGACATTTGAAAACCTTGCTAAGCCCAAACATTGCCCCATTTTCAAATTCAAACTGTTTTTAGAACAGCACTTCAGCACCAAGGACAGGTTAAAGATGGGACCAGTGCACACACACAAAAAATGGTTTCTTTTTCTACACATCTGTTCAAAATTGAGAAATACATGATGAAAAAAGAAAATTTTCCTCTCTTCAACCTGGTTCAAATCACGTACAGACACAAATTACAATAAGGCAATGGAGGCCGATTGTGTAAGACGTCCACCGAGGAAATGATCTTTTCTACTGTCTGCATTTTCTACTGGCAACCGAAACACAGTAACTTACAACTCTACAGCACAATAGACGTACACATCTATACCTATTCAAACGGCAACCCAACGTAATTCATTTTGTCCCATAGGAAACAATGGTTATGTAGGTCGCCACATGTCACCTGGAAATGTATGAATATTTCATTCCATCTGTGAATGATCAGTGGTTTCATGTATGTAAAGCAATAATCTGCTTCTGAATTATTTATTACATATTCAGACCATTGTAGTTTTTAATGGGAAAGACAGTACAGACAATAGGATGATGAATATAGATAAAGTGTACTATTGTCATGATGACAGACTGTTGACTTCTTGTTGATTAGAAACAGGTTTGACACATTGTCAGCATCATCTGGGTGCTTTTATTGTGTGCAACAACTCTGAATGGTTTACTAGAATGTGGTGATTTGGTGATCTATTTGCTTTTAAGTGTAGAATTGCTAAATGATGGGTTCAAAACAACAAGGCATCGTCATTAAGAGATTTGTGTAAAGAAATGAGAACATGGAACAAGACAAAAACACACCCATTATTTTTTGTTTGTCATTTTGAATGATTCACCAAGTTTAATTGACATTTCTGTATACATTGTTGCAGGTTACAGCAGTTTAAACCAATAATACAAAACCAAGTGACCCTATTCTTTCATTAAAGACGACTCTATTCCTTTCCTAACTGTGTACATCTGTTGATTTCAATCTTTGTAACTTATCTTAAAAGAAGTTCTTCTTTTTCAATGTAGAAACACAGAGGGTGAAATCAGCGAGAGCGTACAGAGCCAAGTCAGCCAAGCTGAGTCCACCTCAACCAACCAAACCTGACGACGAGAAGCCGAGATCCAAGTCAGCCTTGGGTTTACACAGGTTAAAAACTAAACCTACCAAGACTGTCTCATCACGTGTGGAGGATTACGAGAACGATGATGATGATGAAAGTGAGGCCTGGACCTCAGAGTACCTGAAGGATGACGACACGACGACAGAAGAGGCTGTGTTTAAGGAGATGCCAAGAGGAGCTGGGACAACAGTTCAGCTGACAGGGTGGTTAAGGCAAGTAGCTTCAAATTTTCTGCATCTGTATCTGTAAAGCCGGTATAACTGCTCCTTGGCGTAACAATCCAGCTTCAAAGGATATACGGTCAAAATTCCCAAGAAGATCACTCAAGAGACTGATGAAATCTTAACTATGTGGACAGGTGGCCACTGTAGACAAGATTCTCAATGCTCGTGCCATTGGAAAAAAATTATCAAGAGGACCACCTGAAAGTGTCAGATGGTCCTTATGTAGAAGTGGTCACAGTTTACACTTTAGATTCTTAAATATTTGTACACAACAGTGTATACAAATCTATTTGCAGTGACAGTCCTCCTACTGGCAAGTTTGCATTGTGATCTTCTTATGCTCTGTGAAAACATTTTTTAACATTATTCCGATATCTTATTGGTTCAACAGTGAGCAAATGGAAAAGTGGACAGAGGAATATGATACAGAGGAGAAAGCTGAGCAGGAACAAAGCACTTGTTCAGATGATGAGGGGGATGGCAACCAATCACAGGCCACAGTTGAGGATCACCATGGCAACCAGGAGATGGAAGAAGAAGTAGAGGAAACAATTGAAGAGAAGAAAGTAGAGGAAACATTGGAGGAACCATCCCAGAATGACACAGAAGGAGAAAATGAGGAGGAAAAATCTCCAGTGCAAGAAATACAGCAAGAAGATGAACCTAGCACTGAAGAGTCAGTTGGAACTAAAATTGAAAGCACAGATTCTGAAAAGGAACAAAACGACACTGTAGAACCTGAAAACGAAGAGAAGACATCTCTAGGCTCAAGGACAAGTCTGAGTAAGAAAGACAAGGAAGAAGCATCAAATGATGTAGAGGATAGGAGCAAGGTAGACAAGGATGCTGTGAAAGAGACAGAAGAGGCACAGGAAGAAAAAGACAATGCTGGTGAGGCTGAAGCATCTGTCATGCAGGAAAAAAGAGCAAGTATTTCAAGCAACAAGACAAATAAAGAAGACAATGAGACCCAAGAGGAACAGGCACAGGGTCATGGAGCTTCAGAGGAAAGAAGATCGATTACTTCAAGTAAGCAGTCTGTCAAAGAAGGCATTGAGACCCAGGAGGATCAGGTACAGAATCATGGTGGTACAGAGGTAGATGAGAACCCAGATTCAGAAGTGCAAAGAACTGGTAGTGTTACGAAAGTGCATTCTGAGTCTGAGGAGAACAGTGGAAAAGAGGAACAGGATGCAAGTGTGCCAGATGCTGAAAAAGGGCAAGATGAAACAATAGTGGGTGGGCTGGAGGCAGAAGAACAAAAAGGAGAGGATGAGAAAAATGACAGGGAAGACAGTGCAGGAAACAAGCCAGAGGGAGAGCTGGAAGAGAGTTCCAAGGACAAGGAGAACAACATCGCAGAAAATGATGAGGCACAAGAAGCAGAGGTTAACACTAACAGTACTGATAATTCTAGTCTTGATGACAAGGAACTTATCTTACAGAAAGACGGGTCAGAGAAGAAGTCAAAACGCAGAAAAAGTTTGAAGAAAAAAGCATCCAAAGAGTCAGTCACCAAAGTCCAAGATTGTAACATTGATGACAAGCAACCAATTTTGAAGGAAGAAGAAGAGAGCAAAGATGATGAAGTGGAAAAGAAACCAAAACACAGAAGAAGTTTGAGGAAGAAAGCATCACAGGAGTCTGTTACAGAAAGCTCAGAGCAACAAAATGATACAGATGACAGCAAATGCAATGATGACACCACAAATGGCCCAAGCCAAAAAGATACCTCTGATGATGAACCTAAAACAGACTTGAATCTAAAAAGTGGCAGCACCTCATCACTTGGGAAGTTGAGTAACTCATCTCTGAATGTCCCAAAACCTTCATCTGATGGAGGACAGGATACGGGAAAGGACAAAGACGGGGACTCCTACAGTATAAGCTCTGCCACGTATCACATGGTGTATACGGACAGTCCAGAGCACAAACAACTGCCAGAATTCTAATCAGACACTTATGGTAGATGGAGACATTGTGTCTATTAACTGTGTTGGTTTTCAGCACATCTTATTATCTTTCAAAGAAGATGGCATCTACCTTTCTCAAGAAAGAATACTTTTTAAAAAAGCGAAGTGTTTACACAGTATTTGCTATACTATGCTTACAAAATGTAATGTACATATAACACTGTTTTTGTGGGTTGTTAAATGTTACACAAAGTCCATGACAAAACTTTTGAAATTTGAAACAATGTTGGTGCCTTACTCATACATCATGTACAAATTTTGAAATCAATGCCAAAGTTTTTCTATATCTGGGTCATAATGTTTGCCTAGTTGTACACCTACCATGCTCGAAGAGCTAAAAGCATTTTAGTTTTTCGACTCAAGTGCACATTGATTTTGGTAGGACTGCTATACCATGTGTATATAAAAATATGTATGGAACATTTTAATTGTGCCCAAGCACATGAACGAGCCAGCTAGCCTGGCAATGCTTGATGTAAAACAATCTCAGTTTCTCTACATTTTACAAACCGTTCTTGGCCATACCTTGGGGGTTAGCTATAGAGACTGCCAAATTTATCAAGGTGTTTTCACTTGGGATATAAAAGGTAAATATCAAGTGATGTCTATTGATTGCAGTGATTTTCAAATCATATATGCTTGCACACGATTTTATTAAATCATTCCCAACAATTGAAAGAGCTCGAGTGACTGTTTTGTGTTGACTTGGACAGAAAATAGTCTAGCTAGACTAACAACACGGCTTTGAAAACAGCAAAATGTAGCCAGATAGGAGGAATAATTAATAAGTCCGGAGTAGAGTTCATTAGCCGAAGAGTTAATTTGCAGGCGTAAAAGCTCCATCGGACTGACTCTCCTGGCCAGCTATTACATACTCCCTTTTTTTGCCGAATTCTGCTATACAAACACCTTAAATTTAGGAAGGCTGGTGGAGGATAGACAGAAAGAAAACACGCTGTTTGTGCAAAAATAAATGAAACAACCGGATTAAGTCCCTAAGGAGTCGGACGATTCAGATAGCATACACTACGAGTATTTCTTTCATCCATGACTGAGAGTGAGTCAGATGACAATTTGGCACTGGTCCAGATATCCTTACGGCCTAACGTGTTACAATCATAATTATAGAGTATACATTTCTAGTTTGAATGTAAGGTTTTAAAAAATGCCACTTTCAATAAAATCGACCGTTGAATAATTAATAACAACGCACCACGTGGATACACCTGCGACCTTGCCTCACAGCATTCTGGGAACTTTCACTTTCAAAATGGCTGCCCCCAAGGCTAGAATGACAATGTTACTTCTCTTACTCGCGTCTTTTTCTTGGAGCGTTCTGTCGTCAGAAGTCGATGCAGATGTAGAGAGACTACGGAACGAAACCGCGCGGAATAACCAGCAATTCCTGAGGCACCTGGAGGATATTTTCCAGAATCCTAGCGGAGACTGTCCGCCCGATCTGAAATACGACGACTCCTACGTCAAGCACAAAACGTGCGAAAACTGGGTCCTACAAACCTTCAGGAAAACCGCGTTTAACGCACAACTCGTGGACATCGTCGCCAAGAAGTGCGGCTCGAATTTCAGGCAATGTTTCGATGAGAACGCGGACGTGCGGAGGAAATGGCAAGCCCATCTCGCTGACACACGGGAGTTGTACGGCCAGTATTGTGCCAAAAGGTGGTGCGTGGATTTTCTCCTGAAATATCAGAAGCAGTGTTCACCGGTGGTAAGTGATCCGCTCTATATCCATCTCTACAAAAATTGCCAATAAAATAGAAACCTTAATGTACTTCTATATCAAATTTCAATATAGCATGGTAAAACAATGGTTGTGAATGGTACTAATACGCGCGGAAATATACCTAGCTCTCCAGTACATATATAGGTGCTCCGATATAAGGATATTGGTTTCTCTTGATCATAAAAAAATAGATAGTACTAGTTATTATTCCTCCAACATAAGCTGGTCGCCCGTTGAATTACAATGGCCAAATCAGACGAATGATTTTCCGCATCATATTCCGTAGGGAGTTGAATAATAAGCAGGCACCATGTAACGTACTCCCAAAGGACACCGGCGCCACTGTAAAAATAAGGCCAAAATACACAAGGCGACAACGTCAGTATTACCATGACAACAGATTCAATAAAAGCCGAAATTTAATCCTAAGGAACAACAACAAATGACGTCATAATCCCGCTCGCTTACCGGCGGAAAAAATTGGACGTATATTGGCTGGAAATATTTGAATTTCGGACAGCGGTTTATTTTAGGTACATTTTGAAATGAAAACAAAACATCCTTTACCAAAATCACTATTTTTCTGAGCGCTGTTCCTATGAATACAGTGAAATATATAGGAGGATTTTATAATCAAGTCCGTAAAGCTGAAAATGAGGAGTAGCCTGTGTGTACTGTGTAGTTGTTGTTGTGTAAGTAACTCTGTCCTTGGTGCTGAAATGGCGATTGTCAACATCTAATAGACAAACAACAATATGGCCTCTTTATATCAATGCAGTACAGTGTAATTCTTCGTATTTCAATTCTAAAATGCTGCACTGTTGTTAATTACAGTTTTTTTTATTATGATTCTTTTTATCAAAACAGTTCCAGGTCAAGGGTCAAAATAACCACATGCATCCTCTAGTTTGCAAAACATTTTGTGAGAGTGCAGAAAAAAATCTAAGCAATTTGGCAAGCTAGAGGAATACAAGTTCTGAATGTATTAGGGATCACAAATTACCAAGAACATAAATAGTGTCTAAGCCCTGTGGGATAAGCAATAATTGATTTTTCCATTAAGTACCTAGTTCCTTGCATGAGAGCTCGCACTATTAATTTTACCTGAAGGCAAAAGGATACATACGTCATAGCTTATCTCCCACAGCACACATTGTAACCTTCCATGAGAATTACTGACCCAAATTTCCTGACTAAATATTAAACTGACAGAAATTACAACATTGCTCTAGCCTGTAATATATACATATATAGCTGTGATATTCTACCTTTCCTGATGTCCTTGATTTAATACATTAATTAGCATTATTGCTATGGTGTCATTTCTTGTTGGATACATGGGATAGGAATACTGCTGCTGAAATATGGAATCAAACCATTTACTTAGCAAAGTATAGTTGGGAAAATATGCCACTTTTTGTGATATTGTGAAGTCCAAACTGTGGGCTTGGTGGCGAGGCTGATGCTGAGCACTATGAATTTCAATTTAAACATACAGTTGGTTGATTTTGCCAATGTGTACCTCTGTTCTCTTGAGTTATGTTCCATATATTTTATATCTTGTGTCTTCTTGTGCCCCCCCCCCCCACAGGCTGAAGACCTGAAGACCATTGTTGATGAGAAGCTGCAAGAGTTCACCACCATAGTGGACCTGTCCTGTAGTAAACAGACAGACTCTGCAGGCCGGCCGTGTGGAGACCTGTATCACCAGTACCGACTGGCCCTGGCAGCCAGTCAGACCAGGAAACCTGACACCTGGACGGACTTCAGGGCCAGGGTAGGTGGTGAAACAAAGGCTACAACAATTTACAGTAATTTGTTGGTAGGTGGTGAAGCAAAAGTCAAAGCCCTTCCTGCACCAGAGGGTGCATAGGGTGGCCACCATCTCCTTACTTTAGCCCTTGGGTTACGCAGTTGTGCATTATCACTACCACAGGGGGCTAGTTGTGTTTGTGTCAAGACCGAACAAACACAAGTCAACCACAATACCATTTTGGCCTTTGCAATGGTACAGGTTTTAAAAAGGTGAAGTTAAAAGTCAAAGGCCAGTGTATTAAAATACAATAGCTTCGTCTCAGTTTATGTTGTTCATCAAAAGTGATGGTAAAAATTCTATTTATATATTGTCTATTTATTTATTACATTAAGTCTTCAGATGCATCATTTTAGATTCCAAAACTATGTAAATCATACTGTATAAACATTCAAATGTTGAAGAATTTGAATGTAATGATTTTCTTGACGTCTGTCATCTTGTGTTTTAGATCAACTCATCAGCACAGAGCGGATGTCCCCAAAACTTTCCACAGGTAAGTGTGACTAATAACTTAAGTAATAAACATCACCAAGATACGAGTGATAAAAACATAGAGTCAAATACAAATGAAACAAAAGTGTAACTGATGACTGAAGTGACATCCACTACTTTTACTTCTAGGGATGGGGTTTGCGGACAGATATGCTGGGATGCTGTGTCAACCAAACAATCAACACACTTATCAAGTATGAATACTACTGTATACTTTCTTGCAGTTTCTATATATACTATACTATACTATACTATACTATACTATACTATACTATACTATACTATACTATACTATACTATACTAAATACCATATTTATCCTGCGCTTACCCAAGTGTTAAGAATCGTGTCTGTAAAGTTCATTGAGTAGTCACTATGAACAGTTTATCAAAGCAACGCGTTTTGGGTTGCATCCTTGAATATAGCATCTGTATTTTCATGATTTGGAAGAAAATCTATTGCCATGGGTTTTTTACATGTCATTTTAAGCAATTTTATTCAAAATATATACCTTTCCAGTCTTTGATAGTCAAAAGAATGTCCTACATCTACTTGAAGATCAGTCTAGTAAAATGTACCTAATATTGCAGGTACCAAGGCCTGTGGTACAAGTCAGTGGTACAGGACACCCTGCAGAAGTGTAACACCTCGGTACCAGTGGACTGCAGTACCTCACCAGAGAAGGTCTGTACATTCATACATTTATCATTCTTATGTGAGGCCACACTGATTCAGTTTCTTGGTTGTCAGATGTTCCCACTTGTCTTCAGTTTTGTACAGTAATGACACCCTGCATAAGAGTTGAGTGTAAGATTTCATCCACTCATGCTAAATATACACCAGGGCCTATTCTTCACTAGTAGTAGAAGGTATTGAATGTAATTTAAAGGCACTTTACACTCAGGTCTGTCTGGGATTTGAACCCAGAACCTTAAGATCACATACCCTAACCTCTGATTTCTGTGAATATCCAGGTGAAATCAATCTACCCCAGTGGCATAAGGTTCAACACCATGGTCACTGAAATTAAGGGCACAAGCCGCATAACACTGGAGCCTGTCTGGGATTCGAACCCATATCCTCTAGATCACATACCCTAACCTCTGATTTCTGTGAATATCCAGGTGAAATCAATCTACCCCAGTGGCATCAGGGTCAACACAGTGGTCACAGTGAAATTAAGGGCACAATACTGGGTCCTGTCTGGGATTTGAACCCATAACCTTTAGATCACATACCCTAACCTCCAAGTGATTTCTATTAACATCCAGGTGAAGTCAATCTATCCCAGTGGCATCAGGTTTAACACCGTTGTGGGGATAGTCGCCGCGTCAGTCATCTGCGTCGTGGGGCTGTTCGTCTTCGTGCGCGCGGTCTACACCAAGATCCGAAAGGGGGAGTACGAGCGTGAAGACGTGCGCTACTCTGAGATCCTCATCACGGACGATGATGATGAGATGGGGGATGGGGAGGAGGAAGAGGAGGAGGTGGATGAATGATGCAGGCCGTCCACTGGCAGATGTTCTTGAAGGCATCCGGTGCAATTTCAGGGCAGCAATACTTTAGATGATGAAATCTGTGTGATACTGATATTTACTACATTTCTTAGCACATTTTCTTAATGATTTAATACTTTTGAAACTTCTAAAAGCAGGATATGTGAGGAGTACCAACAATAAAACAGCTGGATCCAGCCTACGATACAGAACAAGCAACTGTTTTAAATTTCCTTCAGCAACATTTCATTTTTGCCTCTCAGATATATTACCATGTGATAAGAGAATGATCAGAAAATTGACTGGATTGAAAATCCAGTTTTGCCACCCTGAAATTGCATTGGATGCCTCTAATCTCCAAGCAGGTATTTTGTTGGCAAAAGCTGTAACCAATCGGCAAAGCTATGTCCAATTTGATAGTGTCTTGGCCACTAAAATAGAAACTGCTTCGAGATTATAATACGTCATGTAGTTTCTGACTTCTTTCAAGGTTGCCAAATTAGAGAATGATGTGATGACAGTTGCCATAGTTACGTGAAATGTCTTAGCAAGATGTTGAACCTAGACCATCCATGTATGATATACTGCTGGGATTTAAGATCACTTAAAGACTTTCGTTTTAGTGTCAAAAGTAATCCAGGCTGCATTTCTGCAACCCTCCCCCAAGAATCACTTTAATGCAATTTATCTTATCGCATTTGAAATGAGGCAGAACTTGATTTTAAAATAATTGATATAACTCTATAGTATCTTTATGATACTAAAAGTTTGAGCATTTGTTATCAATATGTGTAATATGTACTCTACATGTTTTAATAGTGAAATATTGCCAAGGTGTTTTTACCTCGTTTTATTGTATTTCTGGTGAACAAGTATTCTTTGTAACAAATACAATAACATTCAATTATTTATGTGTACATGTTTATCTATGCCTACCCATGTAAAATTTCCTTTTCAATCTTCTCCCTATGAGCATATGTTTTTAATTTGAGACAAATATGAAAATTAAAGGTTTAGTACATGTGGTTATTAAGTTTTTGCTGTCAAAAATTCAATTTGTCTGGCTTGTAACTGAGAAATGAGACTCCCTCTTGAAGTTTGTTACAGTAACACTTCTATTTAAGAGTAAAAAGGCAGCATTGCACAATTCCAAATACCTCTTATTATTAGACTAGTGCATTATGTCAGACAGTATTTGCTGTGTAATGCCTAAATGAAACTGTGTCAAATCATTTGAAAAGTGTACCATATATATAGCTTTAGCTTTTTTATTCTTACTATTATTGATAAGTATTTAATCATGTACAAATACATGTAGGACATAAAAGTCAGGTAAGGCAAGTGTTGAAACATTTCTTTGTTGAAAGTACTATATAATATTTATATAAAAATTTTGGCAATCATCTTAAATCATGCCACTTTTTTTCTTTATGATGCTGACTGAAGTTATAGGATTCAAGAGGTGTTCTACTTTTAATAAAAAAGTGGGCATTTCTTACAATATATGTTGATACATGTATTTATTCAAAGATTTTGTTTCAAAAAGCTGAGGACAATATGCACAACATTTACTACGATTAGGACCTTTTCATGTGTGAAATATATAGATAATGTTATGTAAATACATTATATGAACAAGTCCAAGTGCAATATGTCATTTTTGGTTACTGTTGTTGCAAGTTGTTTTATATTCTGAGCGGTTATTGTTCACATACATGTAAGCAAGGCATAGAAAAAATGTATCAAGACTTCATGATGTTGCACTCGTACTTACCAATCATTAAACAGAGCTTCTCCTTTGCTCAAGATGATAGAATATTCTGGACTGTCTTGTTGTTTTTACAAAAAGGTTGTTGGACTACTTGCTACTACAACAAAAAGTGTCTGACTTCTGTCACAATGCTCGGAATTCCTGGGCGTCTACTGACTTCCTGGTTTGTGACTTTCTGCTCCCAGTGCATCTTTAGGATCCTTTTTTTTTTGCCTTCTGAGGCATCTGCCTTCAAAGCCCCTGAGGTGGCTCTCAATCTTCTTGTTTGACATTAGCCACGGTCCCTTAAAATTGCACAATGACCGAAAGAGCTGAAAATTGCTATTAACTATAGAGACAAATTATCTTAGATTTTAAGCTCATCGTACCTGCAACAGATTTGGTATTACTGCGATGTCGTGCTCTTCTTATGCTCTTTTAAACACTTCATGGTGCAGAATTTGAAGTCCTGGTATTCAAACGGAACTTTGCCAAACAGGGTTTCACCACAGGCCCAGCACCGACTGGAGAGAGAACAGAAATTTTATCATTAACAAACACTGCTTACTTCAGAAGGATGCCACTTATTAATGTGGTATACATTTATGTGTATGTGTACAATGTATGCCTGTTATAGGAAAAACAGCTCTCTACTACAGCTCTCTCTACTCTCTACCCAAAGTCTGTCTGTGTGTATGTGTGTGTGTGTGCATGTGTATGAGTTTGTAAGACATGTACATGTATGTACAAATTTGTCCAATGGGTGTTCATGTGTGTGCATTTGCATGTATAAGTCCATGTGCATATGTGCATGTGCGTGTGTCTGTGTACATGTCTATGTACCATATGTGTATACATATGGTTTGTGTCTGTATCTATGTACCATGTGTACGTGTGTGTTTGCATGTATGTGTGTGTGACCATGGTATGCCTGTCTTTATGTGTGTGTACCATATATCTGTGTGTGTATGTATGCATGTGAGTTTGCATGTGTGTAAACTCACTTGGCATTACTTAGCCCTGTTGTATCCTGCCCCTGCTGTGCTAGTCTTCTCTCTGCTGCCAGCGCTCTCTGTGGTAACAGTAAAATGTAACAATTTCTATGGATATTGTAAAAACGTAATAGCTTGTGTAGCCGCAAATAAGTTAAACAACAAAACAAAAAGTTTGTCTTCAAAGTTTGTTTCTTTGTTTTATTAAGGTCTCCATTAATGCTTCACATATAGAGTAGGCTTTTCTTCTGAGAGTTCAACAGAAAATTTTCTCAGTCTTAGAGACAACACAATTCCCTTTGTTGTGCAAATCAATGATTACTAATCGAAGGCTTGAAAAAATTAGACTGGTGTGTGTGCATTGAGGGATGTCCTTTCAACTTGGGAGGTACCAACTACAGGCTACATGGGGGTGGTCATCACTACATCTAAGAGAAGGAAAATAATACAGATGCAAAACCTATCACCAGACTGATTATACAAACTACCTTTTCTCTATCGCTAAGAGAAGCGAATCGGATCTTTTCTGCCTCTTCCTTTTCTCTCTTCATCCTTTCTTCCCTCTCTTCTTGGTCTCTTTTCTTTTTTGCAATCTTCTGTGCTTTCCTTTTTTCAGCCTGCTTGGCAGCCCTGGTCTCTTCCATCTCAGCTGTCAGGGGTGCTGGGATCTATTGTGTAAAAAATTATATATTTAGCTCACTGATTCTCTCTTCCCTAATTTTTACTTAAAGATTTGAAGTTTGAAAAGTTACCTGTGCCTTGACATAGTCGTATCTGCCGGGGTTTTCTCCCATGAACCTCCTAAACTCATTCCGTACCTCCTTACTGCTGCACACCACGTAGGGCGGTCGGCCCTTCTTGTCCCTGGAATAAACAAATAAACTTTACTGTACAACAATTGTTTGTCACTGGAAAAAAAAAATTATTGCAAAACATGGTACAAGGTACAATGTATGGCACCTACCTATTATCTTTTCTACCTCACAAAAGACTGTAGTATAGGATGAGAATTGCTTTTACAATCATTTGGAAGCTCTAGTCTATAGGCAAATTTCATCAGTGTTCTGAGTGGTCTCTTTGGACAGTTTGGCTCCTATTGCTATACAACAGCAAACATACTAATAGACTAATTTAGTCCTTACAAAAGATTGTAGTATGGGATGAGAATGTGCTTTTACAATCATAGTTGGTTCTAGTGTTTAGTTCAGATTTTAACAGTCCCCTGGGTGGTCTTCTTTGGCAGTATTGTCTGTGAAAAAATTACACACAAATACAAAATACAGACTCACTTGACAGATGGGTCAGCCCCAGCAGCCATAAGCAGGTTGATGACCGCCTTACTGCCTGCCCGGGCCGCTACATGCAGCAGGGTAGATCCATGGTCATCTAAAGTCTCCACTAACGTGTCTGAGGTGATCACACACACAGCACCAGGGGCAGGCAGTGTCGTACCATCTTCTGTTTCAGTGTTAATACCTGTAGCAGAACTGCTCGTAGCTTTGTCTTGGCTTGTTTCCTCTGAGGTAGATTTTTCTGGCAAAGACTGCATGTTGTCTTGGTCGAGTGAGGAGTCTAGGGTTGTTATATTTGCACAATCACCCAGAAATTGTTGTTCTGACATGGTAGACGTAAGATCGGCACCCTTGTTGGCATCATTGGAGACGATTAGATGTCTAAGAAGTTTCTGAAGATTTTCAGCATCTCCAGCCTTACAGCAGGTGAAGAGAGCGTTCCTGACTTGTCTCTCTGCCAACTCTGAGAGAAAAGATAGTGATAAAGTATTTAGGACACAAGTATACTGGAAGTGTATGTGGTACTAAAATATAAAAGAAAAAGGAAACTTTCTTCACCTTTCTCTAATCTCTTTATCTCCTTTTCCATTTCAGCTGTTTCAATGTCAGGTGTTTCTGCCTTCTTCCTTGCATCACCCTCCCCCATTGCGGTGTCTTTGGTACGATCTGTGACCTTTTTTGCCCCTTTGTCCTCCTTGTCCACCTTCTTCTTCCTGTTCCTTGGCCTGCGTTTCTTGGTTCCTCCTGTCTCCTTAAGGGTGGCTACTGTGTCTATGACTTCTAAGGAACTTTTGAGAATCAAGGCATCTTGGTTGTCATCACTGGAGCTCCCAAGACACTCTGAAAAACAAAAAATGCTTCTTTATTACAGTAGCTGCCCTTCCACTTACCAATCCTATCACTTTGGGCAAATTGACTACTACACTGCTTCATAATATTACTTTATGATATTACTTCATAGTCATACTATACTATAACTACCATAACTATACCTATCTATGAGGTATAAGCCAAGATGCCAAGTGTCAGTGTGATCCAATTATCTCAACAGCCAATCAGCAAGAGGAATCACCACCTGCAAATTCGCCAACCGGAATGCTGTATAGCTATTGGCTCTTATCCCTATGTGTGTAAACAGCTGTGTGTTGCGTTTGTAATTGTAATTGTATTTTGTAACCAGACCCAACAATTCAGCCGAATGCATCTCGGCTGCCAGAGGGTCCTGGGATTTATATGTTAAACAACAATAAACCAGTCTATTGAAAACTTTTGAAAGAAGCTGCCAAACCTGGATCAGGCTGCTTGGGTCCTCTGTTCTTGTCCCGACCGCAGTCTTCATCCTCCATCGCCTCCGCCTGCTGACCTCCGACCTTCTTGTTTTTCCCACTCTTTGGTCTTCTCGTCTGTTTCCCCTCAGGTTCAGAACCTGCGTCGTTTGTTTCAGCCTTTTTCCTGGCGTTTTGCAGGCGTTTTGGTGACTCTCGGCCGGGGTTGTTTCTAGGGATGGTACGTGATGGGGACTTGTGGGGGAGATCTCTCACTTTGCAATCAGCACCTATAGAAAAAAAGATGTCTTCACTAAGTAAGTGAAGACATCCAGTGTCTGTCTTTCCACTCTATGCTTAATACTATTTTTCCACTCATGATGGGCAAAAATTTTGCCCAATCCATCATCTTTGACAGCCAAAAATTGGTGTGTAGATAGATAAGAAAGAAATGTCATTACACAAAGCTTAGTCTACCCCTCAAAATGCAGAAATAGCATTTAACAGGGAGATGACAGAAAAAAATTCAGGCTGGCTAGAACACTGAGTCTAGGCTCTATGATAGGCTGCTGATCTAAACCAACCGTAGCACTCGATTGTAGCCAACTCTTCATGGACTCTTGTGACCTCCTTCAAGGTCGGCCGTCTGGTCGCGAAGGGCACCGTAACGACCTTGGAATCATTCCTGTCCAGTGGAGCATCCTTCCCACCGAAGAAGGTGGCTTTGTTGTAGCTGGGAGCTCGCACAAAGATCTTATGGGACGACTTCAAGTGGTCTGACCAGGAGACTAGCAGTTGTCGTATGTCCTAAGCAGAGTAAAAAAAAAATCTTATATTCCAAACCAGAAAATTAATAATTAACAATACCTATCATGTTTGACTACTTTCAGGAACTGTTGTAGTTCATTGTCACTGTTTTTGAGCCACATGGTGGAACAAGTCATCAAGGCAAACTAATCTCTGAATTGAATTGAAGGTAAAACTTACCTCATTTAAAGCTGCTTCGTTGTACCTCCTTAAGTTAGCCCCTGCTGACCTGAAAATATAAACAACTGCCTTTAGAGTTTGTCACTTAGGGTCTTGCGAGGATTGATTACATGTACTTCATTTCTCTAATAGTTACTTGGTAAGTAGTTAGTTAACAGTTATCTCTGGTCCTTACTTGGGGTGGCTGCTGCCCTGTTTGGAGTCGCGGAGCCCCTGAGCTGTCCCACGTTTGGCCCGGACTGTGTACCTGTGGAACGTCTTGTGCACGACAAGCTCTGATCTGTGAACAAAAACAAGCAGCAAATGTCCATGTTCAACTTCAAGGTTCAAATTATACCATCAAGTCACTGAACACAGAAAAGATAAACCAAGAACTGATACACTACAGATTTTGGAGTGACAGAAGGGTGGTGCATATCTTACTGTTTAAAGACTGCTCCAGCAAAGTGGCCCCCTGCTATCATCAGTATGGTCCAGTTGGCAAGAGTGGGTAGGGTTGTTGCTATGGAAACCAGGTCATCTTCACTGTCTGGAGCATCCTGTGCACATGCAACAATATACAAGATTGGCTCTGTTCTGCAACTTGCTACATAATGTATTCCAACACCCCAATGTGTCTACAGTACCTGATACCATGGTGACAGTCCAGATCATTGATCTTTTTTTGTTTGGGGAATTGAGAGAAGAAGAAGATAACATGTTTTCCTTCTGCAAAGGTAACCATAAAAACAAACCCTCTGTGCGGTACCTTTTTGCCATGGAGCAGACATCGATACACAGAGAAGATTTCTCCTGTGCAGTTCTTGAAGAACACTTTTGCCGACCGCCTTCCTTTCCCGTCCTTAGTGTCTGTAGTTTCTTCAGGGTCAGCAGACGTGTTGGCTTTACCCTGACTTGGAGACGCTGTACGTTGAGCTTCTGTTGCCTTCTCAGAGTCTTCCTCTTCAGTGTCAGATCCTGAGATACTGGATACATCACCTGAAGAAATGCCAGTAAGAATTGAAGCAGTGTTTTACCAGAAAAGTCAGTTGACTGGAACATAAATTAAATTCACACAAAATGATATCATATTCATTTATATATTTTTTAGTTCCTTAATCATTTACTTATTGTACCACAGTGGGCAGAAAAAATTAGTTTGGGCCCCCTTTAACAGCTATACGTATAACATTAACAGTTGCATCTTTTTTGGCATCATCATAACTGACCAGAAATTGTTTCAAATTTCTCCTCGGAGACAGGCTCAGCTCCCATGATCCTCTGCTTCAGGTTGAACCGATGCCAGTCCAACTTGTAGTGTAGGACCTGTATTAAAATCAGTCATCATTAAAATTAAACAACAAGTGGAGAACAACTTGTTATGCTTACATTAGTACCACTGTGCATTAGTACATTACAAGCCAATGGAAAATGAACAAGAACAACAATGGAACATATACAAAATACATTTATCACTGTAGTGACTAGTAATGATGGTTGACATCAACTATAATAATTCTGCCATGTTAAGAAATGATGACACAGGAGAGAGATCTTCTATTCTAATGCAACATTAGTAAATACCTGAAATATAATTCATGAACACTTCAGATATCCATGAGGTTTTCAAGGCCTAGATACCACAAAAAGTACAGAGAACTTTAATAGGACAGTGTCTGAGGTTACATCTCACCGCACCTGTTCCTCACGAGAAGAAAACACCACGTCGCAGAAGGAACACATCCGGCGGTCCGACACCTGGTGGACTTTCGGCAGCAGGGCTCCGGATCCTTCTTCTAGATCTCCGGATCCGGATTTCTCCGGGACGATGTCGGGTAGTATTGTCCCTGGCCCATCGTCCTCAATGGCTGAACGCGCGAGTTTGACACCATCAAATAACGTCTTACACACCAACTCATCGAACAGGGACACGATCTTCACAGGTGAAGATGCCATCGAGATTTACCTCTTTCACCTGGTTAGATAATTCAAAATCTAGAGAGGGAGGGGGGCGAAACGCTACCAAATGGCAGCGGATTTTGCACAGCAAGAAATAAGATCGCGCGAATAACTCACGGTATACAAACCCTGGGTATCAAAGTAAGTACATGGTTACTCCAAGTTTCGTAACCTGAGCTTAAGTACACAAAATTTTGAGGATTTCGACGCAAGACGTCAAAATTGTGCATTGGTGTCCGCCATGTTTTTTACCCAGACCCCTTCACTTCCAAGATGGCTGCGCCCATTGGAGAAATGTGTCGAAAATGTTCCTTACAAATCGTACAAAAATACGCTTTTAAATCTTCTATGTCCTCAAACGTGTTGGTCAGAAGACTTCATAAGATACCTTACAGAAATTTTAATGTACCTAGGCACCTTCGAAAGGTTGTTTCTGTTGAGAAGTCGCAAATAAGGACATTCGCAGACGACGCCGACTCAAAAAGTCGTCTGCTAGTTCTGGGGATCGAAACCAGTTGTGACGAGACGGGAGCTGCCGTGGTGGACGACAGAGGCAGTGTTCTTGGCGAGGCGCTACATTCCCAGAAACTTGTGCACCTCAAGTATGTCCTTGTGTTAAAGTTGAAGCCTCTACCAGGCTTCGGGAGGTGGCTGGAAGGAGTAGATATAGGCCAAATACTAACGTTACATAGAGAGATAACTTGCGCTTTTGGTTTTGGTTTTCTTTTAATGCCCACGATCATGATAAAAAATTATGATCATTCTGGATTACTAATTTTCACCTGAGCGAAGTGGGGAAAGTAGACTGTAAAGTACCATTCTCAAGGGCACAATGTTGGTGACTTAGCAGGATTCGAACCCTGGACCTCTTGGTTCTGAACCGTTTGGTACGCACATTTCAGATATTCCAAGTCTTTTGGACATTCTAGAGAGGGTCTAAAAGTGTTTGTACTTTTACTATTCCTACATAACAGACATGGTGGCATTGTCCCGACTGTGGCCCAGCAGCTACACAGAGATCACATAGAGGAGGTAGTACAGGGTGCACTGGATATGGCTAGCCTCAGATTACAGGTAAGCTGCAATGGTTGAACCTCCTTGGGGGCGTGTCTGCCCATTTTTGTAAGGCGTAATCAGGCCTTTTTAGTCTTCGTAATCCGTAGGAAGCCTCCCTAAAAATCAACGTAATTTGTAATAGTACATTAGCCGCAAAGCGTAAAGTCATAATCAGCTCTCAGTCTAGGCGTGGCTCTCATCAACCACCCAAAAAGTTTAACTGAGTTTGTCTTCTACTTGCTCTAACAGTCCCTGATTGCATAACTAATGTACATGTAACGTTATAATTATTCTACACCTCCCACAGGATGTGACGGCCATTGCTGCTACAGTAAAGCCAGGCCTGGCCCTTTGTCTGCAGATAGGTGTGGAGTATGCCAAGAAACTGGTCAAACAGTCTGGGTAAGAAAACTGTTCTTTTATGGGTTCTGCTAATTAATTCTGGTTCTTATCTTAGGTTATGCTAAGTTCTTCAGTTAAAATTGAACTTAAGCTGTAGCATATGGTGAATTTTTTCTTCCATTTTTCTTCTTTAGGAAGCCGTTCATCCCAGTTCACCACATGGAGGCCCATGCCCTCACTGCCAGAATGATGGAAAAGTAAGATATGATAGCAAAAACTGTTGACAAGTGTCATCATTGAAACCCTTTTACAAAAAACAACAACTTCCATCTCATCTTTTTGATTGAACAATATAGATAATGATATATTTTAAATTGTCTTCAATACCAATTGGAATACACAATGTATATTGAATATATTTTCCCCTGCAGTATAGAGTTTCCCTTTCTGGTGTTCCTGTTGTCGGGTGGACACTGTTTACTGGCTGTTGCTAGGGGCATCGGTGACTTTCTGTTGCTAGGCAGCACCACAGATGAAGCTCCAGGTGTCGTCTTTGACCAGGTATGCTTCAGGAAAAGACTTTCACTGTTGTTGTATTCTGTTTTTTTAGCGTAACCCTAAATTAGGGTTAGCATAACAACTCTTATACTCAGTATCATCTTTCTCCAGGTTGCCAGAAAGCTGAAGTTGAAGCACCACCCTGACTGCAGTACCCTGAGCGGTGGACAGGCTATAGAGGTCCTCGCTGCACAAGGAGACAGCCAGGCTTTCAGGTTCACAGTCCCCATGGCACGCTACGCTAACTGTGACTTCTCCTTCTCCGGACACAAAAATCAGACCTACAGACTCATTGATAAAATGGAAAAGGAAGAAGGTACATGTATAGGAAAGTGTAGATAAAATGTGCGTGGATCATACTAAAAACTGTTCAGAAACCATTGCCATTTTGCTATTACCTTTTATACTTCATAGGTGGTAACAGTCAATGCAGCAAATAAAAATTTGCCTACACCTACAACCAATACAATGCACCAGTGCAAGTACTGAAGTAGACATCAGAAGTACCTGCACAGCTCCAATTTTGCCTGCACTAACCTGCATATTTCAAGCCCTGTTTCTCTATTGCAAATACTAGACTAGAGGTGGTACATGTATAAGGATGGGTACCAGGCTCTGCTTTCTTTCTCTTTTCTCAGGTATTCCTGCAGATTCAAACCAGATTCTGAGCTGTGTGAACAACATCGCTGCGAGTTTCCAGAGAACGGCCACACAACACCTCATGCAGAGACTCCACAGGGCAGTCCTTTACTGTCAACAGAGACACATCATTCCACAGCACAGCAAGGCTTTGGTAAGGCATAGGGAAAGAAATGTGGTGTTTCTGACTTCAGTCCTGAAAACAAGAGTTCCACGACCACATAGCTTCACCAAACAAATGCCTCAGTAGTTCCAGAACAAGGGGGTCAAACTTACATACTTATTCACAAGCAAAAGAGCTAATTCTACTATCCAAAATTTGTGACCCCAGCATGTTCAGATCATAAGATATCAAAAGTGTCTAATAGCAGATATTATTAATCCCAGTTTTGCTTGTTTATAGGTTTTGAGTGGAGGAGTGGCCAGTAACATGTACATCAGACAGTCCTTACAGGCAGTTGCAGACCGGTTTGGGTACCGGTTGGTCTGTCCACCACCCAGACTGTGTACAGACAATGGTGTCATGATAGCATGGTAAGAAGATCACATCCTCTCCCTCCTTCCGTGTGCTTTTCACCTGTCCTGACTTTCATGTGTACATGTACTTATGTAGTATCTAGTGGTAGTGGTATTTTAAGTATTTGTACTGTATTTTAGTGGTAATACTGACCTTGGAACTAAATAACATTAACTAAGCATTCACACTGACAACACTGTCCTAGGTACTGAACAGCATTCACACTGACAACACTATCCTTGGTACTGAACAGCATTCACACTGACAACACTGTCCTTGGTACTGAACAGCATTCTCACTACCAACACTGTCCTTGGTACTGACTAGCATTCTCACTACCAACACTGTCCTTGGTACTGGACAGATTTCACACTGACAACACTGTCCTTGGTACTGAACAGCATTCTCACTACCAAAACTGGCCTTGGTACTGAACAGCATTCACACTGACAACACTGTCCTTGGTACTGTTATCAGAATTTCGTTTCAACTGGTATTTCACATTGTTAATTGGCCACTTATATCCCCTTTTTTTTGTATAAAGGACTGGGATGGAGTGGTTAAAAGAAGGCCGGGGAATCGCTGAAGACCCAGAAGCAGTTGAGTTTCAGCCAAGGTCGGATTTTGACTTTTATCTAAAATCACTACCTGACTTGATCCATTTTTCTTTTTTTCCATCTTTTCAGATAAGAATAAGTAAATTTTTTAAATTCCCATTCCATATTCTCATAATTTTTAAAATCCCAATTATCCTGTTATTCCAGGTGTCCTCTCGGAGTTGACATGTCTACAGATGTTCTTAATGCAGGAATCAAGACAAGCCCAAAAATCAAAATACCAACATGACCTCTCAGTACCGGTATGCATCGTTCCTGTACCGATAGAAAATTTGTTTGTTTGTTTGTTTGTTTGTTCACTCTTGAAGATTTATCCTGTTTCTTGATTAACTTTGTATTACACAAGAGTGCAATGCCACCAAGTTTAACCAGAGCACATGGGACTAAACCTCTACTCTACAAACAAGTGTGGTGGTAAAATTGATACAAATCTCATGTAGCATATCATTGTCAGATGTTATAAAATATACGTACCTTATATTGTACAATAAAACTTTTTCCTTTACTATCTTATTTTTCTGGTTCTAGTTTTAAGCGGTTCTGTTACATCTGCATGTCATGCCTGCAGTCATGCAGTACCTCTGTTCCATGCTAGGGGTCTCTGCTTTGTAACTGGCCAAAAAGGCGCTTTGTAGGCAAATGATAACTTGTGCCTCACGTCTCCTACAAGTCTTGCAAAAAATATGACTTGTGCGGCAAGAGTAAGTCTGAGCGTGGGTATTTCAAACCCCGCATAATAGCTGTAGGCAGTTAATCCTGATGATGTCATGTGCATAAGTGCTTCATTAGGTCACATTCCAAGCAGAGGAGATCATCCCAGATTAGCGTGTCTAATCCCCGTCTCCCGAGACTGTCTGGGAGGGGGCTTGACTTTGTCTCTTGATAGAAGAGGGATTCTAAAGGCTCACGAAGGGGAGTTCTGTATCCCTTTCGCAATATTTCCAGATACAGTATTACAGTTACTTGATAGAGGGACATTCTGAAGGCTGAGACCCAGAGGGGAGCTTTGTTTCCTTTTTATTAATTATCTACAGAAAATACCGGGTAACTAGGTATTTAGTACCACATACATTGTTGTAATCGAATGGTACGTAGGTTTGGAGATTTTACATGTACACGTATATAAGGAATTAGGTCATACGGTAGTGCTATAAAATAGTTATTGTCAACTACCTCAACCCTTAATAAGGTAATTTTATATGCATATCAGTATACATGACACAAAGGAGTACAATATTTTGTACGTGACAAAAACCACTTGGGATGTGATGTCATAGTTTGATGGATGAGAAATCCACATTAAACTGTCGGTTGACAGAAAATAAAGCCAGGTGTGTCTGTAAAAGCCAGGTGAGTGAATACACGGATAATTGGGTTCAAATTCTGCTAGGAATGTAGGCTTTTTGTTTATATCACTGTTTTAGAAGATTATTCAAAAGCTTCCTTTTGTAGAGTGCAGCCTTTTTGGGGATAAGGATCTAAATGATCCCTAAAGGCCAACATGATTCTATCATCAAAATCATTATGCAAAATGATGGCAAAATTTAACAATTTTTTCCGGTTTGTCAGAATGCAATGACTTAAATGGCAATCATCATATACATATAATCCATATATATATATATATAGATATACTAATAGTTTATTGATGACTATGCTACCAGGTTACCAAAACCTTTTGTAGAGGGAGCATTTTTGGGGATACAGATATAAACAATCTCTAATGGCAAGATAAGTCTATTATCAAAATCATTATGCAAAATGAGAAAACATTAGACACTGTATGCAGTAATAGGTTTTTCGTAATCATGTGAGGTTTATGTTGGAATTAGGTCATGATCTCATATCAATGGTTGCCTTCAATATGTGCCAACAATTGTCAGCAGAATGCCTGAACGAAGTCACAGTTTCTGTTGGATGTTTGGTCAACATTGCATCAAAATTTTTCCTGTTACACAACTTGGCAATATCTTTCCCGACACAACATTTGAAAACTATAAATGAAATGTGTGAATATGACCTCAAATATGAGACATTCTGCCAAAGTACTAAGACCACAATATATTGCAGATTTTTTGCAGGTGCAGTATTCTGCTGAAGTGCTTTGTGTTTGCATATTGATGAAGGTTCATATAGACATCCAGGTAGAATAGGTTATGTAACAAATCAAGCAGATGGAAAAATTCTATGAAGAGTCAGACATTTCACTAGCCTGGTTACCAAACCTATTATAGCTCCCAAGTCCTACATCCTCTCCACAAATAGGTTTGGTAACCAGGCTAACATTTCACAGCATCTGTCACCAATAGTAGGTTATTTTCAAAATCTCCAGATTGCAAAGCTTCTCCTATTGGCTCACGAGAGTTCTAAGCTTACTATTTATAAGATGACAAGAAGGATGAGGAAACGGTAGGAGGACGGATACAAGGTCTGCACAGGATACTGTGGTGTCAGAAGATTACCTCAAAACTGGGTCTTACACCAATACAACGCTTGTTGCTAATGTCCGCACCAATTTATTTTTTTGGTTCTCAGATATTTCAGAAAAAAAAAATCTGAAAATCAGAATCCCAAACATGAATACACACAATTGACCACAGTGGTAGAAGGGTTGACATATCAAACAAATGACAATTGCCTTTCCCAAGGGCACAACACCGGGGCCTGCCAAGGATTCGAACCAAGAACCTTCTGATTCTGAGTCAACAATAACTGTAAAACTAAAAGTTAAAAAAAAAAAATCTGACCCAAAGTTTGGTCTGTATCTGCTTCAATTGTTCCTGACTGTGGAAGGTAAAAACTCCCCTGGCTGTCAGATATATGTACATGCCGGGGATGTCTGTTCTACATACCAGTCACAGCAAGGTAATGCTGGACAAACCACCTGTTCGAGTGTGTGGGAAGTAACACAAAGATTAAAAGGACAGATGGAAAGAAAAGAAGAAAGAAAAAGAAAACAAACTGCAAGAAAAATGAAGGAAATAATAGAAAGAAAGAAGGCATTTGAAAATTCTCAACTACTGGGTACTTGATCTACTCAAAATGATTTTTCATGAAACCCCCATTCACACCCTTGGAATGCCAAAGTCAACCACAGTAATCTTAACTGTAAAGAAGAGGTTAAAGCTTCATGAAAGGAAGGTGCCACCCTTATAGTTGTGAAAAGGATGACGTGACCAAATTTCAAAAATGGTAATAATGGTGGTTTCCCTCCATTCATTGTAGTGGAACTCCCAAAACCATTGTTAAATTTTGTTACTTAATATAAAGATCAAAGAAGTCCTAAAATTATCCCAAGGAATTGTTGTAGCCCCCAGCACAGGAAAGCTTTGGGGATTTTTAAAGGCTTTGAAAGAATTGCTTTCAGGTGGAAGTTGTAACGCTGGAAGCATTCGCGGCTCCCCTTCCCGAGTATACTATACTGCAGGTCACTTAGAATTTAGACAGACATTTTCCACATTTCCGAGGGTAGCACTTTGGAAGCCCTTAGTAACAATTCAAGTATGACTGTTATATAGGTTCATGTACATGTCAGTTGAAATTCTCCTTGCTGCCAACATCATTATGCAATAGGGAATTAGAAGCACGTTGCTTTCAGGTGGAAGTAAATTCTAACAATTTCAACTTGACAATTGTCTTTTTAGAGGGGATTATGTCTTCAGGGTAGCTATCTTTCACTGTCGTCTCTTGTATTGTTTTTAGTATTCCCCTTTTTTTTCATAAAAGCAGAAAAATTCAGACAAAAGATCCTGCATAAAGATACAACTATCCCTCCAAGTGTCCAAACTTTACCTAGCCTCCTGTAGTGTGTTATTTTGAGGAACTTTTATGAGCATTGATTGAATGCAGACTTTTTTTCACAAAAGAAACCATTTCTTACATCTGTCCTTTGTTAAGAATTTCATAGCCATATGATAACTTCAACTGGATCTGGTTTCACATGTCTGGATCCCAAGGCACTTTTTTAGGCTACACTGACTTAGTTTCTTGTTTCTTGGAAAATTAAGACAAAAGGACAAATATTTAAACTCTGACTATGACCCTGATATTGTTGAACCTGAAGTACAAATTTTCCCGTGAAAATTAATTAAAGCAATTAATTCCAAGAGTTAGAATAGGGAAGGGGAGCACTGCTCATTTTATATGGGTTAAAAAGATCACAACCACCCCTGCAACGATAGATGGAACATCCCAACAAAAGTACGGCCAATTTTTTTCAAAGTGAATAGAAGTCTCCCACGAGAGCAATATAGAAATTCCACCCTCATATCATTCCACCATTTAGTCATGGCACTTCCCGATAATTACTCCTAATGATCTCAAGTCTACAAATCAGACCAGCCCCACCCCTACCCCCTGGTCAACCCTGAATCTCCCCCCTTTGAAGCCCCAAATAAAGCCTGGGACTTCAAAGCCAGTCAGGAGCTGTAATCTGCTACCACGGTGTGTGTCACAGGATGTCGGAAACTATTACCATATGCTTCCTGCACTGCCTCCTGGGAACTCAGGCAGAGGGGCCAGCCAGCCCTGCCTCCCAGCCAGGGGTTCATTTGACTGCCGGGCAGCAGGGAACCAACACACACTCTCACACAGGACCCAGACAACAGTCAACCTCGGATTCTACTCTCAGGATGCTACTCTACACAGTCTTACTTCTCCTGCCTTTTGGTAAGTACTTCTAAGCTTTGAGTTCTGCATAATTCAGGAGGATTCTTTTTGAATGGTATAATTGCAACACCACAGATGGTTTGGTAAAGCCAGGGATGGTTAGGATTATGCGTAGACAAGTTTGTTAGATCTGGAGTTCAAGTTAAGAAGTTTGTGGGTTTGGAACTGGTATGTGCAGTTTGTGAGACTTGGGATAGGTTACTGTAGTGGTGTTTTAGATTTATAAATGCAGGCTCCTACTGGTGGAAGGGAAAAATAGGGTGCTTTAATCATTAATGATTTGCAGATGACACAGATAAAAGCTCATCATCACAGATGTTTGCAGTTGGGTCAATCTGGCAGGATCAAATGTCAGAGGGAGGGCTGGCTTTGTAAACTTTTTGTCTCCTGGTAGAAAATCTAACAAGTCAGATTTTTTTAATGTCTTTGGCACAGTATACTAGACACGATGCACAAGCACATCTGTATGTTAATTTGTGAAGAATTTGAAGACTAAACACAAACTTTAGATAGAGGAATTGTCACTCAAAATGATGAGTCAGAAGTTTGAAGGGTTTCGTCTTGAGTCTCTCTGAAAGGTTTTTGCCCGGTCACTCACTCATCCGGTCATTGTGGAAAATGTTAATTCATCCATGCTAAGATTAAATAGTGTTATAGAAATTCTTACTGGAAAGGGGATGTGTATACTTAAAACTTTGGTTTAAACTAAAGTAGAATGATTTATTTCATAGACTCTTTTGACAAGTTTGAATTTCAAGTTTCTGTGAACTGTAAAGCAGCAGTTCACTATGTAATTTATCTTGTCTTTAGTTGATGCAGGGAAGGGCAACCTATATATTACAATTCAATTAGGTGCTTGGTCCTACCAGGAGTCTTTGTTTACTTTGTGTCAAGGGCGGTCAGCCAATTTTGATGGCTAAGAGCTTTTCAGTGCTGAACCCTGTCTGACCCTGGCCCACCCTGCAAGCTTGGCCTAAACTCTTGTACTAAATTGGCTGCTGTGTGTTTAGATTTTATTGTGTAATGTTGTTCTTTTGTTGTCAGCTTTATTTTCCTTTGATAGAGCTCTGCAAAAGGATCTAGGATTAGGATGTCTGTCCAACTCCAACGACTCCAAGATGGTTTGGTTTACATAAAGGTGGGATGGTTTGAAAAACACTTGGTTGACTGCAGAGTGCAGTGTCTTTTGTTGTGGTTTTCCCTCAATTATTAGTCAATACACAAAAGATTCTTGGAATAGAGGTCATCTGACAGTGCGTCATTGTGAAAGGGGTCAATTTGTAGCCTATTGTGTTACATAATTGGGGCATATCAGTTTCATCGTTAAAGTTGTGGAAGGCTTGGTTTTCCCTTTTCTTTGGCCATGAACTACTTGTATGGTTGATTTCCTTCATGATCATCCATTATCCTTTGTGAACCACACAAATGAAAGAGTAAAGACAGTGGTGTTGTTGCCTTGATGAAGATTGATGAGGGACTGTGGCCTGACACAGATATGTCAAACAGGGACACATGTCTGCGGGCCCATTTCTCATAACATTAGGCTCCATTTTAGGAGGGAGGGGGGCAGGCTTGTCAACTAAAACCACTCTCTATCATTCTCTTGTGTCTTGTTTGACATAGAGAACATTTTTGAAGGTCGAACTCTGCCCTACGTTGATACAAGGTCACACAGAGCTCTCCATATATTTTGCAGACATTAAATGATAAATGGTAAGAGTGAAAAATGCACTATTTCATTTATGTCCATAACTTTCAGTTGTATTAGAATATCACAACAATTGCATCTAGATGTTCTGAAAAACATTTTTACTGGAAGGTTAATTCTGTAACTTGTAAGTAACACAGCTGGCCTGGTTGTCCCAACATGAGCTGTTTAGAAGTTGTGTAAGACTATCTGCATCCCTTGGTGGTTGTTGTTTATATACACTGGCAGCGAGGCAGAACTCGGTAAACAAGTTCTACACTCCAAAAGTTCATGGCCTCTTACACACTGGAAAGCCTGATTAGTTACAATAACTATCTCCACTTCAACAGTTTAAATGTCTTGTTAAAAGCTGCCACATGGCATGCATGCTCACAATGTTATGAATAAAGGGCATTTTGGTTTAGGTTATGCCTTTTGTACTCTAACTGTGAAAACTGTGAAACTTGTCTACGCGAATGTTGAATATGAAAGCTAAGGAGCAGATTTTGATGTATGAAAGTAAGAAGCTTTTCGAAAGAAAACGTTTAACATTAAGGGAAGAAAAAGAAAGGGCATTTTGGTAAGGTTATGCCTTTTGTAAACTGTGAAATGTGTTTACAAATGTTGAATACGAAAGAGATAGGTCTAAGGCGCAGATATTTGTGCATGTACGCTAGTAATGTAAGTTACGTAACTGTGAAGAAGCTTTTCGAAAGATAATGTTAAATAGAAGAAAATAAGTCTTCCAAGATAGTCCGAGGATTAGAAGAAAGTTTTCCACCAAGGTTAGACTTAACCCGAATCCCTCCGGAATGTGGTAATCATAACACAGACATGTGGAATTCGTCCTTTTTCCCTGGACTGTATTTTCCAATGTCAAACAGTTTTGTCTCTGTTATTTCAACGTCTTTACCAAACTCAGCATTTTTGTCAATGACAAGCAGTATTGACTCTGTTGTTTGGATGTGTGAAACCAGTAATTGATCTCTATAAAACAGCGTGAAAATGTGATTATCATTATGTGGAGAGTCATAGGACCAGGGGGACCCTCATATGCATGAGGAAAGTAGCTAAGGAAGGCCTTGGAAATGTCTTTTAAAGAATATAAGTTATGATGTTGTGTTGCAAGAAATTTCAGAGGCAAACTAGTCAAAGTTGAAATGTAATTTCCAACATAATGGGAAACATTGGACTTACTTATATTTTTGCACTGGTAGTGGTATTTGTGGTGAAAGTTTACATGTCCATTGCATTGGAATGAAAATTTCAGGTCAACTTTTCTTCAGAATGATTTCTACCAATGATTTCTACCAATCCACATAGAAAACACAGAGTTAAATCACCAGACACAGAATACAACTGTAGTCTATATACACAGACACAATTAAAGGGTTGACATCACAAAGTTTTGTGCCAGACACCTGTTATACATTTTAATTATAGCCTGGATCCAAAAGCGAAATAGAATTCCTCACGGCTAAGCCTGGTTTTAGGCCAGACTCAACCTTTTCGCATTCCCACTTTTCCCTGCCCCTGTAAGGGTACAGATGGGGTGGTCTAGCTCTCTCAGACTGATATAAATTTAGTTTACAAGCTTTTAAGTTCCCAGACTATTTTGAGGTCATTAACACTCCATTCGAGTCATTTTCATGTACGTGTAAAGCACTTAGTGCTGTCATGATACAACAGCCGTTTAGCGAGTACTTAGGCCACAGTAATTCAATTCTTTGGTTCTCAGTAATAATTAAAACAAGAAGCCATAGGTGACAATCCTCCGTGAAGTTTTACATATTTAAACAAAATCCCAAGCGTCAACGCCAGACCTACTGTGCAGACATTATATTAAATTAGGCAACGGTTAATACAATGAGGGCGCGTCACAACCATAAAACATACAAAGAGCTAAATCCATTACTGCTCCCAGGGCGTGTAAAGATACTGTGCTTCAAGTTCGAAGTTCATTTTAATTACACACACACAATCTTTGCATTCACATAACTAGAGCTCCCCGATCTCATACCTTCGCCAAATGATGTTAATCTTTATGGCTGACAAATGATAGATTATTCCCCCTGCTTGTGCAAATAGGATCCTCTTTCTTATGAATTTTATCAGTTTATCATATTCTCAACCAAAAGACAGTCTTATATTAACAAACAATGCCATTCTAGCATTTCCTCATAAATTATGCAAATGAGGTCCTGATTTGAATACATTATGTTTAATGATGTTCACCTTCACTGTACTTTCAAAGACCATAAATATGAAATTCCAGGCAGTTATCATTACAGAATTATAACATTTTCTCATTAATTATGCAAATTAAGTCTTCATTTACATAATCAATATCTGCCTGTGTTTATCTCGTTCAAAATTACCAATGCGACAAGCTTCAATAGTCCTATGATGGAATGCAGCTGATTTATAGAATTTCTCCATAAATTATGCAAATTACATCCATATTTTTATAATTGTCACATAATTATATTAAGCATCACTTAAGCTACCTGCATACCAAAAATCACGACGATCCGTCAACCGATTCTTGAGTTATTCTCTTTTGAATATATTCAAACAGATAGTCCTGCAGTTTCAGAGCAAGCCGCTAGGGGGCCCAAACTCACGTCACTTCTTTCCCAGCACAAGAGCTACGTGCCATCTGAATTTCGTCACCCTGGCATATCTGGATCATGAGATATCAAAACCGGAAGTTCAGCTGCAGTACCGTAACAAGCTGCTAGGGGGCCCAAAATCTAATCATTTTGAGGTCTCATTAAGACCTACCCACCTACCAAGTATCAAGACAATCCATCAAGGCCTTCTCAAGTTATCGTGTTTACAGACACACACACACACACACACACGCATACACGAACGCCTCTGAAAACATAACCTTCTTGGCGAAGGTAAAGATCGGACTATCATGGTCAGCCCCACCGTCTTACCGTGCCTGTACCTAATTAAGCGCGCCTGGAGTTGCCGTAATCACCGCGAGTGTTACTACCGTCGGCCAGATAACCAGGATATCTGCTTACAGTACCTCTGCTACCAGACAACTGCCTAAACCTACGGCCTATTCCACAGGATTGTAAAAGTAGGGATGTTTCTAAAATATGCATTTACTCCAATATCAAAACAGCTACGGTAAAAATAAAAAGACGTGCATCATCCCGGACATAATGCAACACCACATGCGAAATTACACAGATATGCGACGTACGGCAGAATGCGTTCTGTCTGCGAACATCTTCCAAAAAACTTGGCATCTCTTAACCATGGGCAAAAACATCTGGAACCACTTTTAAAAACCACC